ACTCAAATGTCCAAAAGCTGTGTAAATAGCGATATCTATTTACACTAAGTGAAAATATCAGTATTTTCTTTGCAATAAGTAGTAGTAGTATACTTTATACTTTATACTATATAATAAGTGTAAATAGTAGTTAGATACTATTTGCACTCCAGTATTTTAGTACATTATAAAAAAGTATGCAATAATAACAAAGTGTAAAAGATTATATTTAATAAATAAATGCCGCATTATTGGGGACAATAAAGCCCCAACCCCTTTATTATTAAATAACCGTTTAGCACTTTAATTCCACTTTTCACATATTTTCTTCATATTTATTGAAAATAAATGCTTTCCGATCTGATATGCGATGGGAAAAGAGAGAAGAACGAGTTCGGCAAAAGGCGGATTAGAACTCTGGTCGACCGCGTCAAAAAGTATCTACAACGTGCCTTACTCCTACTTTTTAGTTTTGTGTGCAAAACATTCAATAAAACTAGTGAAACTATTTACAATGAGAGCTCATCAGTAAAAGTAGTATAATACTTTTGTATTTTAATTAATGGTAGCGAGAAAGAAAGGGAAAATGGGTTTGGAGGTCAGTCTTTATTTAACTTTTTTTTACAGGCCCACTTCAAAGATGAAAAGTTAAGTTAGTTTCCTCTTGGTTTGATATTTCGTTATTTAATGTAATGAAATACATGTATTTGAAGTGTGGATTAAGTGTCGAGATACATAGACCACTGTGTATATGTACAGTATATATTGTGGCCCTCTCATCTAAATAGTTTGAATGTGTCCCTCATGACTTCTGAGTTGGGAACTTCTACCACAGGTGGCACTCAGCAAGTTGTAAGTTTGTCAGTTTATTTTGCCCTTATTTGTCATAAGATTTTGATGGACAGATGAGAGAGAAGAAAAAAGAGGTTTTATCTGTGTGGTTCGATTAAATCCTTTACTTTAATCACCCTGCCCTGTCTTCCCAGAAGATAAGGGTAATGCAGTAATCCTCTGTCAGGGTTGAGGGCTGTTAAAATCAATGCCTCATACACACCGAACGTGACAGGAAAGTTTTCATTCGGTTAGATTGAATCACACACACAACTCAATGATAGCAGGCAGTGCAGGTAAGGTCTCTCTCTCCATTACATTTGGTCCACCGTCCTTCAACTGGTCACTCAAATCCTGGTCACTCAAATCCATGCGAGCTGTCAAGTGACAGCCCTTTGAAGCCAAGAGATAAGACCTAATCTTCAAGTGATCATTTAGGCTGGATAGCTGAAGGTAAAGAATAAAGATCTGTGTGTGTGTGTGTGTGTGTGTGTGTGTGTACGCGAGCGTGTTTCAATTTAGATCTCACTGAGTCCTCATAGTACTAAAAACTAGTTGCTCCAGAGACTAGATGTCTTTGCTGCTCTTATACACTCTTTTAAAGTCACCATGAAATCAAATGGGACAATTCTTGTTTTTTTTAATGGAATATTGCAGGATTGATAATAAATGATTTATACATGCACAATTGCACATCATTATAATTTAATTCATGTACTCTCAAAAAGCAGCATCTCTTTTTTTTCTCTGATGATGTGTTTAGTGGCGCACTCACATGAGATCGACCAATGGCAAACCACAATAATCCAATCAATTCCTGATGAACAAAATGAAGTCCCGTCCTACATTTTTTTTTCTTGTTTGAGAAGCCGTTTCACTCACAATAGGGAAGAAAAGGCTATCGCAACCTCTGTTTCATACCGACATTCAAATAATTAGTTCTTACAATTAAAGCAGGTTATAAAACAGTTAAAAACTAAAACTTTAATAAAAAATAATAGAGAAATAAATGTTTGAAGCCATGGCGCATGTGCTCTGACACAAGCCAGTTCAAATCTGGTTTACAACACATTCCCCCCAGCTTCAGGTCTGAGATGTTAAAGATGTTGGGTTATAGTGTGGCAGTACAAAACTCACTCTCATTAAAAATATTAACACTTATGTCATGGAAAAATGTTCACTTACCATTGCTATTCTCTTTATAGAGATTGTTACTTAACTGCATTATTAGTGCTGACAAAGACATGGCTGAGAACTTGTTGGAACATGGTGGACCTGCCCTTGTGCTTAATTAGAACTCTGAAAAGAGAAAGAGATGAGGAATTCTTGCTATGTGCCAGGAATGCCCACACAGGTAAATGAGATTTTATGTTGTCTGCGGCCCCGTGCTAAATCCCTTTGTATAAGAGCTGAGTAGATTGTGTCTTCTGATAGAACGTTCATATACTGGTACTTTGCAAAGACGAGTGCTTCTCTGTGGCTTGTGCATTCCTCTTGATTCCCAAACTTTCCAGTGAAACATTTGCCAAGCTTGACTATTGAATCTTGTTGTAGAATAACTTTTTGTTGTTGTTAAAATGTTAAAAAACCTAACTCCTATGATGATTAAGGGTGTATTCACACCTGCCTTGTTTGGTTCGATCGAATCGAACTCTAGTTTGTTCCCCCCTTGGTGCGGACCTTTTGGGCAGGTGTGAATACAGCAATCGAACTCGGGTGCGGACCAAACAACCGAACCGAGACCCAGCTGAAGAGGTGGTCTCGGTACGGTTCCAAACGAACTCTGGTACGGTTCGTTTATGGTGTGAACATGAACCGACCCAATTGCAAGAAAGCACTACGCCTTTGAGTTAACAGGCTTCCGTAGTCGGAGTTGCGTTATGGGAAAGTGATCTGTTGTAGCCTACTACATTTGATAAAATGAGTCGTGGTTTGACCTGGAGCTTCGAGTAGTAAAAGAACAAATATTGCAGTACGAAGTATCTCCATGCTGAGCCTTTTTTTGCACTTCCTGATTTCCCTACTTGAGAATCCTTGTCCAATGAATGGACAACCTTAGCACACGTGTGGTTTTGTTTACAAATTTTGGTTCACTTGCAAAAAGAGCAGTGTGAAAGCGAACCGTAAAAAAAAAAAAAAAAAAAAATTATTTGGTCCGGATCAAAGCAAGTGAACTATCGGACTTTCCTGGTGTGAATACACCCTAAGTCTGATTCCTTTTTGGGACAGTTGACCCAAAACATAATGTTTTAGGAAAAGTAAATTCTGAGATATTTTACGTAATTTTGTCTTGTTTGACTTTGTGGTTCTTTCTAAAGCAAAATTTCATGAATCATCATTGCTATACAAACCACAAACAATTACCAAGTCAAGAAAGTAAGCCGAGGCCACGTTTATACAATTTTAAAAGTGTTTTGTTACATCTATATAGACGACATCATGTACTTGCGGTTATATTACAGACTATTTCGTACATTTTGAAAGACATTTTTAAAGTCACTTTTCCAGCAATCAGAAATGATGTCTTTTTAAACTCTGATGATGGTGTTATGTGATCTGGTGTCTCTTTTTATTATGAAGTGGAAAATTAGACCTTTGTTTTTTTTTGGTCAAGACTTTCAGCACAGATCTGTTTCACAATTGAATGGTTGGGGAACTGTTACAGTAAGATTTGAAATTGAAATTTTGTTTGGCCATTCTTTGTTTTGTTTGCTTTGCCAACTATCTGCAATGCATTATTCCAACATTCTGCAGTTGATTCTCAGGTAGATCTTATCAGAGACAGAAGGCAATATGTTGTGTTAAGTCGTGGCATTCCATTCTCCAAAGGTTTCCTTCAATAGTGAAGGTTTCCAAAGGTTTCCCTCTACTTCTGCACAAGTGGAACTTACAACACAGTCCTCCATGGTCATCCAAAGGGAGTGTGCGGTGGACTCCATGAACCATAACGTATATTGGTTCATGATAACTGGAGGGATGCATTGATATAAAAAATTCTGGTTGATGCCGATTTATCATTTTAAATGCTACAAGTGAATTAGGCATCATAGTATTATGAAAAATGGATAGTCATTTAGATATGTGCTAAATATTACATTATTAAATTATTAGTGTTCTTGAAGATTAACCTGTGAGTGTTAGATTACAGTAAAACTAATCTAAATACAAAAATGAGCATGCATAGTTAAATATTCAATATCGCTGCAATGTCTCAGACTACATACTGTACTCAACTTCCAACAAAAGGAACTAAGCTTGTTGGAGGAAGAGGAAAATAAAGCGTGACACCCCCGTATTAGTAGTAGTATTTAAATATAAGACTCAGGGAGGCCCCACGAGAAATCTCTGAGAGCCAAAAATTCATACGAAATCCACCCTGTAAAAACAGGGCTGAAACAATAATAATAACAAAGAGCCTAGGAATGTATCCAGGGCATTGAACCTCAGGGAAACCCTCCAGCCAGCTCAGCAGAGACTGCAGCCTGGTCATATCCATACAGCTGTACAGATGCTGTTTTATTGAGGAACTACTGTGATTTGGCAACACCTACTGTGTTTGGATTCATTGTATGTGAGCCCTTTTAGCGTTTGCAGATTTGGAGCATGGACATGGATCCAGTAGAAAATCTTCTGAGGTGTTGATAAGTATTCAGGCTGTCTCTGTTATTTTGTTTCCCTTATTATCTTCAATAATGTTAATAACCCAACAGAGTTGCATTTCATTTATTGTACTGACAAGTTCAACTGTTCCATGAGAATTCCAGAGACTACTGTAAATAAAACAAATGGGCATTAAAACACTGCGACCAACAGTCCCGGTGGGCTAATGAAAAGGCTCTGGTCTCCTTAGCTTAGAATTGTGGGTTTAAGTCTCATCTGGGATGCAGATCAGCATTTCTGCAGAGTTGGTCAGTTTAAATGCCCATAACCAAGAGTTTGCAACACGGCTACTTTTGGGTAATCCCACCCCAAACCCATGCAGACGGTTGAGCTGGAAACTTGTTTGAAACGGTCATTATTTTTGCAGTTACATTTAGTGCTGCTAGAGGCATAAATGACACTTCAGCATTTCCATAACCATATAAAAGTTGAAAAAGTTACTGTTGTTTTTCCTCATTTGTGTGTCACTTTCAATAAAAGCTACTGCTAAATATAGAAATGAAATTGACTTTTTATTTTTTTTATTTTAGAGCTGAAGTCTACTGGAACCGCCCATCACTTTGCCTTCCTGCTCAACTCGACGGACTATAGAATCCTCCGTATGGACGAGGACCATGATCGCATGTACGTGGGCAGCAAGGACTTCATCCTGTCTCTTGACCTGAATGACATCAACAAAGAGCCCCTCATTGTAAGATTTCTCAGTTACACCAGACAAATTGCAACAAACAAAACTATAAGCAAGGCTTGGCAGTAGTACATTTGAATCTGTTCCTTGGATTAGGATGACCTGGATTAGGATGACTGTTTATGTATCACTGTCTTTCTCCTCAGATTCACTGGCCTGTGGCTCCTCAAAGGAGGACCGAGTGTGTCCTCTCAGGGAAAGACATCAATGTAAGAAATGAACCACAGCATTAGTAAATCCTAAACTAGTTATTCCAACATGAGCATGAAAGCATCTGGAAGTATTGTTTTACGATGACAGCATCACTGATATCATTCTGTTCTCTGTGTCGTCAGGGCGAGTGTGGTAATTTCATCCGTCTAATCGAGTCATGGAACAGGACTCACCTGTATGTGTGTGGAACGGGAGCTTATAACCCCATCTGTACCTATGTGGACAGAGGTCAAAGGGCACAGGTAAACTATCATTCGCAGGTCACCTGCTACCATTTGCAGGTCAAGGGTTCAAACTGTTGGCTACCTTAGTCAAAAGGTATTATGTCATTAGAGAGGAATGTTTCCCCACCCTAGAACAAACAGGATAATCTTTACCACCTGCATGTCTTTTGACACTGTTACTTAAAAACTCTTCCTAGTGTTTAGGAGGGTAATATCATTTACACAGTCCTAATTCCACCTCCCTTCTTTCCCATCACCACATCCCATCATTAACCACTGACCACAGGAAAATTATTCAGAAATGTGTTTATACATACTGTGGTGGGAAAAAGTCTGAAATCAAAATTAAAATCTGGGATTTTTTTCAAATTTAAATTGGATAATGAAATTTTTTTCAAAATCATGTGCTCTTTCTAGGTTACTATTCAAATATAAGCAAATTTGGGACATTGATCATGTGAACCCCTTTTCAGTTTTTTTTTTTTTTTTAGTTTTCAGTCACATATTGATTTGTAATTAACAAAAAAATTTATGAAATTCGAAAAATTAAAAATGAGCGTTTTCGGATCCTGCTGTATTTGTTCATGTTTAATGGGGTTCTGCAATATGCATATCTGTTTCTTTCATATGCATGCAAAGGGCAGTTCATGTGCTCACAAGGTTTCCCAGCATGTGCATGTTTAAAACACAACTTAACATCTGCTCATCTTCTTTGTCCTCTATGGATACACCAAACTGCAGCCATCTTTCTAGCATATCAGCATCTTCCTTCTTTGGACACAGTCTAGGATGTTTTCTTGGGTCCTAATTGAATCCATAGCAACAGGACTTTATTGAGGCACACCCCTTGTTTTATAGGGCTTGCTCCAAGATCAGATGCCTCGCGCAGGAGGCCGAACCAGTCGAGCTGCAGACCCTAGTGCCTCACCAGAACCATACGCACCCAAGGTGGGAAATGAACTCTTCCCTTTGTTGTGAACAATGGGATTGAAGTCCTTTTTTGAACTTTATTTTGGACTTATTTTTTCTTAAGTTGCATTTGGGTTTCTTGATGATTGGGTGTTTTTTTTACTTAGGAGTTAAAGGAAAGGTTCTGTTCTCACTGTATTTGGTTTTTCAACAGCTGGTTTTCTTAGGCGTTGAGAGAAACAGCAGAGGAACTGTTGTCTTTAGAGCTTGTCTTCCTCAAGTTTGCCTACACTTGTCCAAAGCCTGCCTTTGGCGCAGATATCTAGCAGAACGTGCAGAGATTACTCCCACACCCACACTCCATCATGCTAAAAAGTGGTTAGTCAGCACAGAATTGATCGGTGGCTTATATTACATTTGCGGTGTGCGTGTAAATCTTACAAAGGATCCAAAAAATATTTGTATATTATCCAAAACAAGTCTTTCGTTGAGACTTGAATCTGCTGAATTGCTGATATATTTTTAGCGGCATGTTGTAGACTCTTTAGATGTCCTTCTACACCTCTGCTTAGATTTTAATGAATGTGTTAATTCATGTTAGACATTTCCACTTGCTTTAGGCTACATATTTGGTGCAAACACAGCAGTCACCATTCTTTAAAAAAAATGTTTGCATCTTTGCTAGCATGCAAACTGCATGGAGTAGAGTGAAGCTTTTAGCATGAAGCAAGATCATGTTTTCCTAAATACCTGAATTGAATAATTGTCACTAACCCAAAGAAGCCATATAGACAGTTTTATATCCAAATGTTGAGAAGCTGATTGTGAGAAACTGTTCATTTTCTTTGGCAACTACCAAGAACCTTGGAAACTTTGGATTATGGCATTCATTTCTTTCTTCTGGGCAGTTTTTCACCAGCTGCCTTTTGTCAAATGGCAAGATATTGGTGTTGGAATTAGACAATATGTAAGACGCCAACATTAAAAAAAACACACACGCAATAGGTTACCTAAACATATTTCAGTTTTATTACAGCCCCAACTAGTTATTTTTCCATTTATCCCAGAGAACCTGTCCGCATTTCACTTCCTGGCTATACCTTCACACACTCTTAAACATTGGAAAGAGAATCAATACTGCTTATCTAATGTGATCAATTGTGCTCTCATTAATGAAACCTTCATGCTCTCCCCATTCCAGGAATACATTTTCCGACTGGAGCCTGGCAAAGTAGATTCTGGGAAAGGGAAATGCCCCTACGACCCCAAACTAAACAGCGTCTCAGCTTTGATAAGTACGTACCTCTCATTGTCATCATACTTATACAAAGCATCATTTCCTTTGTTTCAGACTTGGATGAGCTCATTTTTCTCAAGTTTATCTGTCTACCTCTCTTTATCTCCCTTATGCTCACTCCATTTTGGCAGATGGCCAGCTGTACGCCGGCGTCTACATTGATTTTATGGGAACAGACTCGGCCATATTTCGCACATTGGGCAAACACACAGCCATGAGGACCGACCAGTATAACTCCCGCTGGCTCCACGGTATGCACAAAATGTTTGAACCATGGCATACCACCAAGAAAAAGTTCTTTGTATAGTGGAGAAAGTGCCAGATATGAATATTCAACACTGATCCTTCATCCTACCTCCTGCACACTAACCTCATATTTAATAAACTTGGTTAAAAAAAAAAACATTTCCCTCAAGCAATTACTGCTTAGTTAAGCTCAATCCTTGACCTTTTATTAAAATGCCTGACTGTATTATTGCTGCGAGATTTTCACTAGTTTTTTTTTAAAGAAGATTATTTATTTATTTATTTATGCTCTATATAGTTTATTTTTCATATGTAAACCACAGATTGTTCCATCTACTTGTGATTAAACGCACTATATGACAGCACCATACTCAAAATAATATAATTCATTCTGAGTTTTATTTGCCAAATTCACAACAGCAGCATGCTGCAGGACTTGCTGATAATGTTCTTTTTCAAATTCATGCTTTTATTTTTATTGTAGTTAACAAAAATATGTTTTTTACAGCTCCTTTTCATTCATAGTACACTAATAGTACACTAATTCTTGAATGTTTTAGACTGGGTTTCTCTTGAATTACATGTGACTCTTTGGCCCAGATTTTTTACTTTAGTTTTGCCTTTTTGGTTACTAGTGTTTACTCTAATAATCATCACAGGCTTCAAAGAGATTCCTTCAGACTGTTCAGTATAGTGAATGAGAGGGTAGACTTACAGTGAGAGAGGTCATCATACACTTTGCATTAGTTGCACTTTTCTAGTGAATGTTATTTAATATCATCCCTTTGCTCTCCTTTTTTCCCCCTCTTTGCCTTTTGCTCCATCTATGATTTATCTCTTTTGCTGTTTTTTCCCTTCCTATCCCTCTTTTTCTTTTTCCTTCAGATCCAACATTCGTCCATGCTCAGCTCATCCCTGATAGTGCAGAAAAGAATGACGACAAGCTGTATTTCTTCTTCCGTGAGAAAGCCTCTGAGATGGGTCAGACTCCCATGGCTCAATCCAGGATTGGCAGAATTTGTTTGGTGTGACATTTTCTTAACCTTTGTCTTTTATTCCAGTACAACATATCTACATATCCTTAAAGGAAATAGGTCACTCATTTGCCTTCAAGTTGCATGACTTTCTTTCTTCAATTGTACACTGAGAAATTTTAAAGAATGTGCTTGCACTTTTCCATGCAGTTACTAAGAATGAGGACTGGAGCTTTTAAGTCTTCAAAAAGAACTATAAAAGCATCATAAAAGTGTCCTTACAACATGTCACATTGCCACAATATGCAATAGCGTTGTGTGAATAACAGACTAAAATTTAAGTCATTTTTCTTTGATAATCATCCCCTCCAGTAAGAGCATCCAAATCATTGAGTCAGTGAGTTGAGCTCAATAACAGGATTACTCGTCTTCAAGAACAAATTAGTTAGATAGTTTTTTGTAAACTGATTCATTGTAAATAACTGACTCAAGTATGACTCATTCACATTGGAAATTGCTACATCTCTAACACGCCAAAGAGAACTGGGGTGGCTGTCAATATCATATTTCTTTATTTTTAAGTTTCGGTCTTCCTTGCACAAAGCTTTCATATGGCTTCAGAAGACTCCACATTTTTCAAAATGTTCAACAGAAGAAAGTGAGTCACATGAGTTTGGAACAACATGAGGGTGAATAAATGTTGACGTATTCCCATTCAATATTCGTATAACTTACTATACATTTTTCAATTATTGGGTGTTCCTATGCTGAACATGATGCTGTCCTACAGGACTGAACTGTTTATTGTCAGATTCTCAGTGTCCTCAGATCCATCATTGTCCAATGCCTCCTACATGAGCAACCGCTTGTTTCTTGGTTATTTTTTGCTGTTTTAATGTGAATCAAAGAAGCATGTTTGTAATAAGTGGGTAGCTGCTGGCGGCTGGTCATCGGGCATCGCTGCGTCTCATTATTGAAGTTGGCTGCTGTCCATAGCAGATGGGGCTGCGCAGTGCTCAAAGCCAATGTTTACAACCCAGTCACAGCCAGTTAATGCAAACCCACAGAAATAGCCCTGAGAGAGGGACAGAGACTGATGTTAAGAAATGTCTCTATTTCACAGATACGGGTGTCAAGGTGTCCATCATATCAAATTTTACAGCTAGAATCTGTGTGGTGTCTAAGTGATTCTTTATGGCTAACATGACCTCACTTCCTCTACAGAATGATGATGGAGGACACTGCTGTCTGGTGAATAAGTGGAGTACTTTCCTGAAGGCTCGGCTCATCTGCTCTGTGACCGGCTCTGAAGGCATTGAGACACATTTTGATGAGCTCCGTAAGTCTCTCTTTTTGCGAAGTCATTTCCTGAGACTGGTGTTGAATATTTTACATAGTTGATCTTTATTACATGACTTCAGATAAGGATGCTGACAACAGCAAATCTGGTTCAATGTTCTAACATCAGAAAATGATTGTGTTTTTTTTCTTGGACTGCTTGCATTTGATTATTTCTAACAGGATATTTTAAATTAAATACAAGCAGTCCAAGTGGACAATTCAAAGTAGTTGAATTGTCTTTAAATGTCCTTTCCTTGTAAAAAGAAAAACAAAAAAACAATGGAAATCTGTTGGTATGATCCAATTAAACCATGGTACTTTAAAATATTTTAAGTAAGTGTAATACCATGGTACTTTGATGTATTCCATGATACTGACCCTTACAAAACATTCTGTAATGTGATGTTACCCTGGTACATGGATCAGATGGTAATACTTTGAAATATATAATGGAATTAAAATGTATGCATGATTTTTAAAAGGTACCCCATGGCGCTTCCAAGAATACCATGGTAGTATTAAAAAAGATTCTTTTTGTTATTGTGCTACTGATTATTTGATAAATCTTTCTGTCTAATTAATTTACCTAGAGGACATTTTATGCTGTTTTGTTTCTATGGACATGTCTTGTATTACAAAATATAGAATAAAACAGCTTTAACATTTGATTGACTCCATATAGACAGTGAGGTGTTGACCGAAGGCACATTATAATCAGTTCTGTTCTGTTCATTTTCACGGTATACTTGCTGAAATAAGAGGCCTCTTATTTCAGGATAGGGCATGATAAAGCTCATTTGTGGAAACCGTTCATGTCTGATGGTTCAATGGATATGTCTCTCCAGAGGGTATAACTTGGAAAAAGTAATTTCCTCTCTTTCCTGTATGTGCAGCGTCTAGCACTTGTGCTTTAGCGTGAGGTGCCACAAGGGCCTGTGAGAATGAAATATAAAGTGGAAAGCAGTTCTGAGTAGTTTCTGTAGAGCTTTAAATGACAAATTAGGCTTTTAAAAAGTTGTCCTAAAACTGTCTTAATATAAAAATGTCTTATTTTTGTGGTTTGACATTATGCTACATACATGATTGTGCATTTATGTGCACATGTGTGAAGTAACGCATACATGTAAGCTGCATCTTAACAGGCTTACACAAAATGGAGTCTTTCCCGTTGTGGGAGAGTTTGATTGACAGGACTGAAGAGGATTGGCTGATAAACCAGCTGTAACAGCCTCAGCCACTCTTAAGAGGCAAATGAATGTAAGCGCATGAATGCTGGAATTTTATTGCTTTTGCAACGTGCATAAATTGAGTAAGCGACCGTTCTATGCGCTTCATTTCTCAGCTCCTGTAACAGCGCACAAGGTACCCTCAGGACTCCTTTCCCCGTCTCTGCCCTCTCTTTCTCACTCTGGTTGGGCATTCACCCTCCCTCTGTCACTGTGTTTGAGGAATGAACTTGTCAGTGGAGTTTTTGACTGCATGGATGTTTTCCCTTATCCTCAGAGGGGCAGTGAGGTTTTATGGGTTGTTTTTTGTGGCTTGGCTAGAGCGAGATTTGTTCGCTGTAGTGTGGGATTTTCCCTCAGCGCTTGATTACTTAGTCTGTTTAGCCGTGACTATCCATCTGAGGTCATCTTCTTTCTGTTTTTGATGGGACATCTGTCTATTCTTTTACCACTCGCCCTCCTTACGTTTTAAACTATCTGGGTGTCCTTTTGTTTCCTTTTTTTATGCCCTTTTTTCACCCTTCTTTTACGTACCTCTATCTCTCATCCCCCTTACAATGTCCCTCAAGAAACTGCTCTTACGGTGAACCCCCAAAAGAACGGTCCCACTCTGCCCATTACACTCTGTTTCTCCCAATGGCCTTGTTCCATCTTTCTCATTTTGGCTAGCATACTATCACTGGTCCTTTGTGGACCAGTTAATTTGTGCCGAAACAAGCAGGAGAATTTCAGAGACCGAGACAAAGACAGAGGAGAATAGCAAGAGGGAAGGATTGTCCTCTCAATGCAAAGTATTTTGTGTGATGTAATTGAACTGAGATAGATTTGATTGTCTTCCCACATACACTCACAGACTTTTGACTTTTTGTGCGCCTTGCTGACATTAAGCTACAGTAATTTCAGTGTCACTGGCTGTGCTAATTTGAGCTCCAAAAATAATGAATGTTTTCAAACAGGTTTCTCTGACAATTTGCCAATCTTCCATTGTTCAGGAAAAACAAGAAGTTCTGCCCCCAAACTTGTGACATTGGTTTAGCTATTGTTGCAATACGGGACCATAAATAAAGCTCAAAATTGGAATTAGTGTGTCCCAAATCATAGTACATTGAAAACTACAGAACCCCTAAGTGGACAAAAAAAGAGAGAGATGAGGAAAAAGAACAGTACATTTCAATACTTGTGTGTTCTCTAGCAAAAGTATTGCGTTTCCCCAAGAAACTTTGCATTTGTTTGCACAGCCTTTGCATTCTCTCAGAAATTAAATATAAGAAATATTTTTATTTACAAATTTACTCATATTATTTCAATCACAAAAGGTTTGCAAGTAAGCTCTAAGATTCTCGGGTTTGCATAAGAATGCCAAATGCAATAATAAAATAAAAAAATCTACCACCTTTTGAGGCTCCATAGAAAACAGCATGCCAGAGGTGCCTAAACGGCATTACATTTCCAGTGAATTTTCAGTGTGCTAATATTTCCCACAATCCCTTGTGCAAACAGAAATTAGTTTGTGACTGGTTTTTTTTTTTTTTTTTTTTACTTTTTCCGTACAAAAGTAGTGAGAAAGGCAATAACGAAGCTGTCATAGCAGATTTTAAATTGAAAAACTCAAAGGGGCTGATAGCAATTTTAACTGTTTTGCTCATTTTTTGCTATCAGTTAGCCTATAGCTGTCCCAGAGACTAATGCAATTTTCTAAGGACAATTATTTCAGTGATATCAGTCAGGTAGTAAGGACATTTTATGTTTTATTCCAAAAACAATGCTGACAGCACTTAAGTAATAATGAATTAGGCTTGATGCTAAATGTTTCAAGGTGCTATGCAACAAAGGAATCTGTGGTATCTAGATGCAATCATATGTCCCATTACCTGCTCACTTTCTCACTACATACTCAAATGAGCTAATTCACCTACTTCTGAAGTGTGTACTTTGGTGGTGACATTAAAAAAGTTCATTCTTTTGTTTTTTAAATCCAGGAACTAAGTAATTCAATCTTCCTTTCAGGGGACGTGTACATCCAGAAAACCCAAGACATCAAGAATCCTGTCATTTACGGTGTCTTCTCCGTATCTGGGTGCGTAAGTTCACAACGGTCTCTCCCAAAATATGAGATCCAATCCTCACTTCTCCTCGATGCCTCTTACTAATCAGGCCACTTATCAGATTGGCAAGGGAGCTTGAATAGATTTGCTTTCATATTCACACTCCAGTTGCCCACGGGGCAACACCCCCATTTCTCCACTGCCGAAGACTGTCTCTAACATACTGAATAACAAGTGTTTGGCAGGCTTCACAGACAGTAGTACAAGTCCTCTAACAGCACAAAGGAAGAAGCTTTTCTGTGAATCTGAGATGTGATATTCTCATAAGGACTTATCTACATAATACCACCACTATCAGATGCAGTTATGAGAGGATATTCGTACACGCTAAAATATTATACAATGGCCTCAGAGGAAGCTGTCAACATTTTAGATGAGGTTCACATGCTAATCATCCAGTGTAAATACACAAGACTGTGTGTGTTATAACAATTCACAATCTAGCTGTAGATTAAATCAGCGAAGCCCTCAGGCTCTGTCTGAGCTCTTTAAACCCAAAAGTACCATTCTTGGTGATAATAGTGAAGACTCTCTCCATCAACTGCTAGTGATTTCACAGCTCTATCTGTCCCTCTGTCTCTTGTTCTATCTCTCTCAATCTGTATCTGTATTTGTGCTAATTTGTGAAACGGCGTTCCCAACTCATTTAACATCTATTCTATGAAATACAGAGCTGTCAAAAGTGAAAATGCTTCTAATTTTGCATTTTCAAGGCCTGTGTGATTTGGTCTAATACTGTGTCTAGATCTTCTCAACACATCAATCTTTCTCTTTCTACATCTCTAGGTCGGTATTCAAAGGTTCAGCAGTTTGTGTGTATTCAATGGCTGATGTCCGCATGGTCTTTAATGGACCTTTCGCTCATAAGGAAGGGCCAAACTACCAGTGGGTTGCCTACCAGGGTAAAATCCCTTACCCCCGACCAGGAACAGTAAGTGTCACAAGTAACATTTAGAATAATAATCATTCATGTTTGAAATTCTTCAAAGCTGATATACATTTGATGTTATCTTTCTAATCATAGTGTCCAGGAGGGACGTTCACCCCCAACATGAAGTCTACTAAAGATTACCCAGATGAGGTTATCAACTTCATGCGCAACCATCCCACCATGTTCAATTCTGTTTATCCAGTCCATAAGCGCCCCCTAGTGGTCCGTACCAATGTGGATTATGAGTTCACCACCATCACAGTGGACCAAGTGGCTGCAGCTGATGGCAACTATGAAGTTCTTTTCTTAGGAACAGGTGAACTTACATACAGATGGCTTGTTGAGTTATATAGTTATATTTACAGTATACATAGACCACAATGAAAATGTTTCTAATTCTAAATCATTGTTTATTTCCAAACAACCTAATGTGTGTGACACAATAAAGCTGCTTTAGATCTAGAAATGCAGTAGTGAACTACAGTCATTGACACCTTCTGTTTTTTTTTCAGAAAATGTAAAGAAATATTCATTCTTTATTCAGTCCCAAAGAATATTATGTTTTATAAATATTTCTGACTCCTCTCTTTTGGTCATTTACAGATAGAGGAACCATTCAGAAAGTTATTGTCCTGCCCAGAGATGATTTGCAGACTGAAGAGCTGGTTCTGGAGGAGGTGGAGGTCTTTAGAGTAAGATCCTCTTTCCATTACACTTCCATTTTTGTCACTTTGTGTTTTATATTTATATTTGTTTTTGTTATTATATTTTATAAAATTAAAAATATATAATATTGTGTTATACAGTGAATTCAGGATGATTGGGACACTTTTTCCCAATGAGATGACTTAGAAAAAGTGTCCCAATCAACCCGAATTCACCCCATATATCTTATACATTATATCTGATAAAAATATAATTATTTTCATATTACAGGTTCCAACTCCAATCATTACTATGAAGATTTCCCCAAAACGGGTAAGCTGCACAACAAATTCATTTACAATTAAAAACTTAAAGAAAACTAATTCTGAAATATTAACAGTAAATTTCTTAATAATATTAAATATAGTTTAAAACGGAATATTTACATTGCATTGTCATTTAGCAGATGCTTTATTTAAAGTTAGTTACAAATGAGGAACATTCGTCATCCTGGGTTTCTTGGAATCACTAGATGTATTTTGAATGAAAGTAACTTTTATTTTCCTGTCTTTGTGTGTGTGTAGCAACAGCTGTATGTAAGTTCAGCGGCGGGTGTCACTCATCTGGCTCTGCACAGGTGTGATGTGTACGGAGAGGCGTGCGCTGACTGCTGCTTGGCCAGAGACCCTTACTGTGCCTGGGATGGAAAGTCCTGCTCTCGCTACTCTGCAAACCAAAAAAGGTGAGAGCTTTCTGATCTTTGATGTCAGAAAGATCATATTTACGAGTTTAATTTACGATTTTCTTTAAGTTTACGAGTTGGGGGGGTCAGTGAGAAACATAGCGGAATACCACAATACTTAGTTATTTAGCAGCACATTTTCAGGCTTTTTTATTTACGACAAAAAAGCTAATTGTCTGCACAAAATATAATAGCATTGTAACATAGCAATATTGTATGTAACAATAAAGTTTTTAGTGGCTTCATAAATGAATTAAAAACATAAAACAGCTAAGCACACCTGATGCGCATTCTTTGTTTTTAGTAGTAGAGTTTAAAAACCTTCATTAAGAGAAGGTACCCCACCATCTTGCTGACGTCGTAAACACGACTTCCCGAATCGTAAATGCGAACTTCCCAGGAGGACTTGAACTCACCATGAGATTTGTTTGAATTAATTTCCTTATTTGCTATTGGTGGTTTAAATCTTGTAGGCGGAGTCGGAGACAAGATGTGAAGTATGGCAACCCTATAAGACAATGCAGGGGCTACAATTCCAATGGTGAGGAATGAAATTGATGAGTAAAACTACTTTGGAAGAAGTAAAATCAATCTTTTGATTTTGGTTATTGTTTTAGATATTTTGTTTTAATTCCTGCCAGCTAATAAGAACACGTTGGAGACAGTACAGTATGGAGTAGAGGGAAGCACAGCCTTCCTGGAGTGCCAGGCCAGATCTCCTCACGTGTCAATCAAGTGGCATTTCCAGAAAGAGAACAGTGATAGAAGGAGAGAGGTATGTGTGGCATAATGTCTCGTTATACCATAATTGTTAGAATAAATGTTGTGTCATTTTAATCATGCATTTATTTATTGAGATGTTATTTACTGAAGTCAGTAGCGAACCGTGACTCTTATCACCCAAATTGAATAAAACATAATTGCATGTAAATCATCATTACACACAATTGCATCATCACACAATCGTTGTGTGCATTTCAGTTGAATATGGTGTCAACCGTCCACAAAACCAACATAATTTAATGGAAGCCGACGGATCATGACAGCGCTCAGACCAAAGCACATTAGCGACAGACACTTCCTCATCATAGTGAACAGCGATCGTGGCATTTTGGAATCCATCCAAAAAATAATTTTCACATTTTGTCCAAGCAAGCAATTTAATAGGTGATTTATTTGGAAGCGTAAAAATCAGTTGGAACTAGCTTTAGGGGGCGTGTTTGAGTTTGCATGAACTGCATTTGTCAAATTCTGGATATGTTGCTGAATGGTCTTTGACAATGAATCTAGAGAATTCACTTTAATATAGATTTTAACCTAAAATTAGTTCATATTTTCCACCAACCCATGTATTTCAGATCCGCTGTGACGGGCGCGTCGTTCGCACGGAGCAGGGTCTCCTCCTGCGCTCTCTCCAGCTGTCTGACGGAGGGGTATACCAGTGCACCTCCACCGAGAAGAACTTCAAGCACACGCTGGTCAAGCTTCAGCTAGTGGTTCTTTCCGCCCGCACCATCAACAGCATCCAGACGGACTTCAGCGCTCCCGTCACACCGCCTCTCCAGTCCAGCGCCTGGACGCCCAGCGCAGAGCAGTACAAAGACCTGCTGACCATCCTCAGCCAACCAGAGATGGGCCTCATCAACCAGTACTGCCAAGACTACTGGCAGATGGGGGACGACCAACACAAGAAGAAGGACCTCAAGGAAGTACAGAAGGACCTACGGAAGCCGAGGAACAGGAGACACCACCAGGAGCAGAGCAGCATGGCTGAGACATGAGAGGGGAAAACATCCCGCTCCATCCAAACAGAGATTTCCCTGCTAGACTTGAGGTTGACCTCAAAGTCTCTGACCGCCATTACACACAAAATATTCAACGTATACCCACAACCATCATGGCCGAGGAGAAAATAAACAGTACGTTTTTGAAAATGCATAGTATTTATTGTAGGCTGTACATAGTTCGATTCTGTGGATATCTTTGTATGGAAATAGAGCAAAAAAAAAAAGGTTTTGTGTATAGATCTGTGCAAATATTTTGTTATCATTGTACTTCCCTTCCAATATATTTATTACAACGGTATTCACGTCATAAAACACCGTGCGACTGTTATAAAACTTTGTGTACATACCACTAACAGGATAGTTGGACATTTGAAACTCCTGATGGACAGTTTGACTGCGCTTGATGTTTGGATACCAGAGCTGTGATGGGACTGCGTCAGAAGCCGTGGACTCTTTTAGCTGAGCACGTGTTCTCATTCTGCAGATGTACGGATAAAGGAATTTCCACGTCTATTTGAGTATTCTGTGACCTCCCAAAAGACTTTCCTCGAGAAACACTTTATCACTCATCTTTTAATCTTCTTGATCTTCCATATTTTGCTATGCTAATGTGTGTTAAATATAAAGTCGTTTCTGTGCGTTATATATTTGGTTTATTATTAATTACAGCCTCCTGTACAGTATGTACATCACTTTTTGTTTTGTTCTTTTCATTTATATAAATATATTGCTCGCAAAGAATCTCAAAAAGTTGGCGGTTCAAAACCTGTCCATCTCTTTGCAGAGCAGAGTTGTTTAAAGCATTGTTTAAATTGTTTTGTTTTTTAAAGCGAATCTTAAATATGTAACTCTCCTGACATTTTATGTAAAAACAAAAACAAAAAAACTTTAGGTGATCATTTGGAAGCGTTAAATCATTTGGAACTAAACTTGTTTGAGTTTGCATGAACTGTATTTGTACTGTACAGATATGTAGTCGAATTCTGGATGTGTTGCTGTATGGTCTTTGACAATGAACCGAGAGAGAGAGAGATGAAGAGAGAGACTTTTCTGAAGACCGGCGACTTTGCCGAACTAGTGATGGAATCAAGCACAATTACCTGATGTGTGTGTTTCGCCTCTGTTGTGTTTTCTCAAAACACACAGCTAACAGGCTGTGTGAAATTGTTGTTGTAAAAAAAAAAAAATTCTTTCATTTGTAAGACATTATTCATCACTGTGGTTTGTCCTATTGTTTTGTCTTTCTTAGAATATTCTAATGTGAAAAAGATCCAGAATTAGATGTTATAAACAGGTAATGTTATCGTAATGTATTTTTTATTTGTTTTATTTTACATCTTTGTCGTTGACTAATTAAAGTTATATATTTTATAACAAATTTAGGTTGGCCATTCTTCAGAATTGTTGCTGGGTTTACCTATATGTGAACCTTTCATTTTCCCTGAAGAGTTTATGGTTGTTAAAAAAAGCAATAGCTTCTTCACTTTACACCAAAAGTGGATTAAGGAAGCTGATTTGCATATTTTATGAACCAACCTTCACATTAGGGTTATTCACAATAACAAGTCCGATTTGTGCCTAAAAAATTGTATTTTCTTTACTATTAATACTAAATCTCTCTTTCCAAACATGCTTTCTGTTGACAAACAATGGCTAAAACTGTCTTAATTAGCAAATGTCATCACACCATACCATATAATTTTATCAATATTTGTAAACATTGTGCCAAGTAAAAAAAAGGGTAACAGAGTCCTTGTTACATGTGTTACATGTACTATTAGCAGTAAAGTGTGCATAATTAAGCAACTAAACCTAAACCAAACTTACTAAACCCTAACCCTAATTATATAGCAAGTACATGCAGTTAATTAATATTACTCGGTACTACCGAGTAATATTAATTAACAGCATGTACTTGCTATATAATAGTCGGTACTTAAATATAAAATTGCACTGTAACAAGGACATCTTAAGTGTACCCAACAATTCTGATCACTGAGTTGAACACATTTTTTTCTTTCAAAAAAGCATTTTTGAAACTTTATGAAGCATAATGGAATTGTGACATGCAAATTCTGAAAAAAACCCCCACTTTATTTCAAAATTATTTTTGCATTACAAACTAAACCCAGATAAATCTATCAAATAATTCTGTAAAAATGTTGCACAAATTGCACTAGCTCCTAAGAATGTCCGATTAAAGGGATAGTTCACCCAAAAATGAAAATTGAGTCATTAATTACTCACCCCCATGCTGTACCAACCCCGTAAGACCTTCATTCATCTTCGGAACACAAATGAAGATATTTTTGATTAAATTTAAGAGCTGGGTCACTGCTACATAGGCTTCCTAAGGGAGTGAAATTTGACGGCCCAGAAAGTCATTGAAGAAAATGTTTAAATATTCCATGTGACTACAGTGGCTCAACTATAAGTTTATCAAGCGACGAGAATACTTTTTGTGCGGAAAAACAAACAAAAATAACGACTTTATTCGACTATTCCTTTTCTTCCTTGTGGGCCTGAGACGAGAGTTCAAGAGATTTCCACGACGCATGCACGAGAACTGAGAAGAGGACGTTCTTCTTCTACTACTTCTTGTTCAGTTCTCGTGCATGCGTCGTGGAAATCTCTTGAACTCTCGTCTCAGGCCCACAAGGAAGAAAATGGAACATGTTCTTCAATGACTTTCTGGGCCGTCAAGTTTCACTCCCTTAGGAAGCCTATGTAGCAGTGACCCAGCTCTCAAATTTAATCAAAAAATATCTTCATTTGTGTTTCGAAGATGAACGAAGGTCTTACGGGGTTGGAACAACATGAGGGTGCGTAATTAATGACTTAATTTTCATTTTTGGGTGAACTATCCCTTTAATACTCCGATTTATGCAAACACATTTTTAACCCAGTGTAGCAATGAAAAGCTTTCTTGGTAGTCGTTTTTTAGATTGATCTTTAAGCTAAATGTTTACTATGATAAATGTGTTATATTTAACATATATTTACATATAATTAAACGTTATGTGCATTAATGGTTCTTTCAGGCATCATTTAGACATCAACATTGAGACATCTATCTATAAATTACAGGAACGTCTGTCTGTCTGTCTGTCTATTAGTCGAATATCTCTCGAACCGTTAGATTTCAAACTTGACAGGTGTCTTTCTACGGGCACGCGTAAGTGCAGTGCCGAGTTTGAAGTAGTTTGGATTAGAAATGCAAAAGATATCGGTAAAAGAAGCACACATTGAAGTTATAAACATTCTGACATTAGAGAGGGTTGTGGTTTAAAAATAAACATTCTGTCAGCTAAACATTAAGTCAGCTACACTGTTTACTTCTGAATATTGTAGTTATTCAGAAGTAGTTAGTTGTCAGTAGTTACTTATGTCATTATCAGTATTATATTATGTCAGTATCAGTATTTGCTTTCAACCATACACAAATAAAAATGTCACTGAACTTTTGCTGTGTAATTGTAACAATGAGCACTCAAACACACCAAACCAACAATTACTAAAAACACACACACAAAATGATTTTGCACATGCATAATGTTAATTTGCACATGTCAAATCGATATTAAAAAAATATACAGTACACACACACATGTATATCTATAAATTACATAAACTTCTGTCTGTGTGTCTGTTATTCGCATATCTTGGTAAAAGCAGCACACATTGAAGATGTTCAGATGATGTGTAGAAGGTTGTGGTTTAAAAATAAACATTCTGACATTAGAGGGTTGTGGTTTGAAAATATCTGAATATTATATTTTATTTACGGCCATCATTTGTAGTAGCCTATTCACCAACTGTTTGCTCAAAGCGTAGCATTTTCTCTGAGTTCACTGTGTATGCTTCAGCAAGGTCTGAACCTCCCCTGAATCGTCACGCTTATTCATTTGTGGATGTTAACTGAATCACTGTTTAATTCTGAATATTATATTTTATTCTGGTGCGCTTAACGTTATCGTTTTCTCAGAGTTTAGGCTCCTGTGTAATAGTAGCCTATAGGCTATTCAGCAACTCAAACATACCAAACCAACAATTACTAAAAACAGATTTTGCACGGGCATTGCACTAGTCAAATGATTTGCAAATAATGAAGTACATAAAAAAGCGCTCCTGTTTCTTTGTCTCTGTTGCCTGTGATGTCTGTGGATTAAAATGTATCAATCTTCAGATTGGGGTCAATGAGCTGTCAGGTAAAAGACTAAAGCTCTTTAAACGCTGCGCTGCACACTGTGTACACTACGTGGAAACTGATTCTGATGACTACAGTGGGAAGGTGAGATTAGAATTACTCATGGAGATTGCAGAACACCTTCACATGCAGTCGTTTTATAAAAAAAAAAAAAAAATTCTGGCTATTTTGAAAAAAGCCAAACAGACGCAATTCGCTTTCATGATGTCAAGCATATTTTCAACATAAAATAAAGATAGAAAACTGAGATGGCAGACCACATATCCAATCATTTATGAGACCCATTTACTTTTTCAGTATCCTTTGCCTGTTCTTGAATAGCATAACGACAATTGCAACATTCGTAGCATTACATTTTACCACTCACACAGTCCTTTTTAATGTGCTCGTGAAGACACCGACAGCTTATCACCTTTTGCTGAGCACAGCACCTTCTCCTTAAATCTGAGGTTAGATGACCTCTCCACGCTTTGAACGCCTTCTGTCCTTGTTCTTCATTGGCCCCACCAACCCAGGTGGTCAGAGACATCCCCAAAATCCCTCTAAGACTCAAAACAATTCATCAGATCACAAAGATCCAGTTGAGGTGTGAGCGGTACCTGGACAGCACCTGGAGGCCTCTGGGCAAGCGAGTGGTCATCCAGAAGGACTTCTTTTCCTTGATCAAGAGTCAGTATGGGGGCCGGGGCGAGCGCCGAGGAGAAGCACTCCAGGGAGCTAGAGAAGAAGCTGAAAGATGATGCCGACAAAGATGCCAGGACCGTCAAACTTCTGCTGCTAGGTAACGCATGAGGGGACTCAAATCATTTTTCAAGTCAAAACATGACGAACAGCTAACTTGCTAGATTTGGAAAAGGGTATATTGCAGATTTGTTGTGTAGCCTTCCCATTTAAAACCTCATAATAAACAGGCAATGAGTTCATGATGTGACCATAAAGACTATGAATGACATTTTATGTTTTATTCATACATTTTTTGCGATATGAAAGGAGTATTAGATATCTTAAGCTTAAATACAAGAAAAAAGCTCATCAAAATGGACGTCTTACTGAAATTCAAACCAAAGTGGAGCTAAAGAAACTGAAGACACACAATTGAGCGCACGGTTTATAAAAGTCTCTATATCTCAATATATAAATTTAATATTTCAAAACATTTTTCAAGTATGCATGTACATTCATAACTGCCTGCGTCTTTGTCCGTGAAGTGATGTGGGTCAGGGTTATGGGACATCAAGCTTGAAGGGGCTTAAGACAATAATAATAAGCCTCAAGCCTCTTAATGTAATCCACCAAAAGATAAACAAAGACAGAACAGAGAAGGAGGATGTATTCCAGCATTAATTCTCTTATGCATACCAAAATAAATCAAATATTACTGTATGACTGTTCTAAACAAACATCTACAGTTTGACAAATGTCAGTAGGTCACTGAGGGTTTTACCCCTCAAAAAACTGGCTAAATGTAGATCTGTGGTTTCCGCAGACCTGGAGGTCAGATGTATACTATACAACAAAAAGTAAATTGTTTTATATTTTGTTAAAAAATTGCATACATATCTATATATATATGTATAAATATATAACAGTTATTTTCCATTTTGTTTAAACTGTAGATATTTAACAATACTACAGTTTTTATGGTTTTTGATCAAATAAATGCAGCTTTGGTGAGCATAAGAGATATTTTAAAAACGTTTTAAAATCTTAACAACCCCAAACAGTATATATGTATACGAATGAAATAACCTTGATAATCCTTAATCCATGATGATTTTCCGTTCAGGTGCTGGTGAGTCGGGTAAAAGCACAATTGTCAAACAGATGAAGTAAGTACTGAGAAAACAAAAGTATTACATGAGGCTATCCTCTTTACAACATTATAACATTATTGATTCTTGTTCGGTGCTCTTTTATGTCATAACCAACAAATAACTTCATCAATTAATTGTCAATTATTTTCCATTACAGAATTATTCACCAAGATGGTTACTCCCTTGAAGAGTCTATGGAGTTCATTGTCATCATCTACAGCAACACTCTGCAGTCTATCCTGGCCGTTGTGAAGGCCATGACCACATTAAACATTTCCTATGGAGACGCTTCTTCACAGGTGCTCTACAGCATTCATTAGTCATTCATAAAAATAAATAGGTTAAAGTATGGAATATACCGTTGGTGATACCATGACACAATGATGATATCAGATGGTAATACCAAAGTACTGAATGATATCCTATGGTACACCCTGGTTATTTCAGGTATTGTATTACCAATGTACAGTACATGTCCAAAACACCATGGTATTGTTCATCCTCCTTGTGCAAAAATATATAGGATTGTGTTTAACTACTGTGTACTTTACATCAAACATAATTGAACAATGTTACACCATAGGATACCAATCTTTTATTTGAAAGTCACGTGTCTAGTGAACCGCATTTTTTCATCTTAAAAATATATCTAAATTACGTCATATGTTCTCAACTAAAAATGCAGAACAATTAGTTCATGCGTTTATCACATCAAGGCTTATTTTAATGCTACTGGGTGGTTGCCCTGTACGCTTAATAAATAAACTACAGCTGGTCCAAAACGCCGCAGCTCGAGTTCTTACCAGAACCAGGAAGTATGACCATATTAGCCCGGTTCTGTCAACACTGCATTGGCTCCCTATTAAACATCGTATCAATTGTAAAATATTGTGGATTACTTACAAAGCACTAAATGGTTTAGCTCCCCAGTACTTGAGCGAGCTCTTAACGGATTATAGTCCGTCACGTCTATTGCGATCTCAAAATTCCGGCCAGTTGATAATACCTAGAATATCAAAATTGACTGCTGGCGGTAGATCCTTTTCCTATTTAGCACCAAAACTCTGGAACAATCTTCCTAACATTTTCCGAGAAGCAGACCCAGTCTGTCAGTTCAAATCTAGACTAGAAACAAATCTCTTTGACCTAGCATTCACATAACACATTATAGACTTCTATAATTCAATGTTCGGCTGCATAGTTTAGATCAGCCGGAACCGGGAACGCTTCCCATAAATCCTGATGTACTTGGTACATCATAAGAAGGATGGTGTTTATGCTAATATTAGTCTCTCTGATTATCTGTTTATAAATGAAGGTGACTGACTTGACAATGTACTGTACTTATTGCACTCATGCTGTATTGCAAAAGACTTTGGTTGCATGTTATTTTACAGTACGTGCACTTTCAATGTACTCACAGTCTGTGTAATGTAAGATAACTCCATGGGTTAAGGGCAGGTTTAGGTGTAGCTTCGGGGTTAGTACCCACTTAGTGTCATTACTACAATAAGTACATAGTATGTACATGCAACACAGGACTGTAAAATAAAGAGTAGCACCTATGTAAAAATGTGTAGGTGTCCTCAGATTAAGCAAATTCACTCTATATAGTACTATAACTAAGGAGTTTCATTGTTTTGTTTTAATCTCCTGCCAATTGTTTTTTTTTTTTATCAAAGCCATAATGAAAGCAATTTGACAGCATATTTGTCAGATTATACAACAAAAGATAATTGTACATAATAACTGAAGGATTTATAAAATTAGACTATTAGGAGAGGTTATGAAAGATAAACATCTGAAAGAGACTATTAAAAGAAAGAGACTGAAATCATGAAGGATTATACATATTTTTAGAATCAACTGTTTTTTACAGGATGATGGAAGGAAGCTGATGCACTTAGCGGACACCATCGAGGAAGGCACCATGCCCAAGGAGCTGGCAGACATCATCCTGAGGTTGTGGAAGGACTCGGGCATCCAGGCGTGCTTTGACAGAGCCTCCGAATACCAGCTCAACGACTCTGCCGGATAGTATGGACCTCGAATTAGTCTTTTAAAGCATTAAATACCAGTTAGCAAGGCTTTAATGTCCATGATCAAATTATCGTTGAATTAATAAATATAGGGAAATATTGTATTGATTCTCTTACTCTATCTCCAAGCTATCTGAGTGACCTGGAGAGGTTGATCCAGCCTGGCTACGTCCCTACTGAACAGGACGTCCTGCGATCAAGAGTGAAGACCACCGGTATAATCGAGACCATGTTCGGCTTAAAGGATCTCAACTTCAGGTACTCTAAACAAAGTCACCTAAAATACAAAGAGCCTTCATAATGATAACAATGGCCCAATGACCATCATCATCTAGAGAATCAAAGCAAGAAAAAATAAGTTTAACGATGTAAAAGTTTCAAGAACAATTGAACAAGATGAGCTTAAATGGACCCCAATGCCATGTTAACTGGTGTTGGTCTGCAGGATGTTTGATGTGGGCGGTCAGCGCTCTGAGAGGAAGAAGTGGATCCATTGCTTTGAGGGTGTGACCTGTATCATCTTCATCGCTGCACTGAGCGCATACGACATGGTGCTGGTGGAGGATGATGAAGTGGTAGGTTGCCATTTGTGGTCCAAGAATGAAACCCCAACTACATGACCTACAGTATTACATTTTAGCAACCTGTTTATCTTGTCCTTTCAATCAAAGAACCGAATGCATGAGAGTCTCCACCTGTTCAACAGCATCTGTAACCACCGTTACTTTGCCACCACATCCATTGTACTCTTCCTCAACAAAAAGGATGTCTTTGTGGAGAAGATCAAGAAAGCTCATCTGAGCATGTGCTTCCCTGATTATGATGGTGAGACCACAAAATCAGAAACTTGATTCTTTAACATAAATGTTCTTAAAATTGCTATTAAACCAGACAATTTAACTCTGAATATCAATACATTTTCAGTGAGGATTTATCATGGAACAAAACCAAATGTCAAAATTAGGGTTCTATTTCTGTGATATGATATGCAAAACTACGCTACAAATATAATGCATGCCTCTGTCAGGTCCCAACACCTTTGAGGATGCTGGTAACTACATCAAGCTGCAGTTCTTAGATCTGAACTTGCGACGAGATATCAAAGAAATCTACTCCCACATGACCTGTGCCACAGACACAGAGAACGTCAAGTTTGTGTTCGATGCCGTAACAGACATTATCATCAAAGAAAATCTCAAAGACTGCGGTCTCTTCTAAACAAGCCATTTGTGAGAAGAGGTGAATATAATATATTAACAGTATAGTAAATAAGTAATGTATTATTACAATTTCAATACGTGTAGAAATAAAAAAATGTCTCTTCTTTTACAGAGTGGATTAATCAACAAAACCCAATACAGACCCATTGCCCCTCGTTTTCCTCCCTGGGTAATGTGGAATTACCCAATGCTCACACACATAACCATACAAGAAAACACACACACAAGGGAATTGAATTGATAGCACCTGGAAGAAGAAATTATTGTTATACATTTGATTAAACACTGCATTTAATTAAATATCAGAGCCTAATACATATTCATAGGAGCAAGTCATATATAACAACACATGCAGCATGATCCTGCTTGAAGAACCGGCTCTTATGAGGGTGTTTGCTCCTATTAGTTTTTCGCAGTGTTTTATCCTGTAGATTTGAAACTACATGCAGCTGCAAACCAAATAACTAAACTTTTGAAACACCTGCATAATATGCACTTCAGCATAATGTTTTGCAAGAGCACATTATGAAGTCCAGAGAGTATTTCAGATATACGTTCTAGCAGTTACTAACTGTGTAAAGTTCATACTTTTAAGCTGATTGAGAAAACTTTACTGGGATGCAATGTTCTGTGTTATTTACAGAGGAGTTATATCATGTTATGTCCCATTTTCCAAATCTTTATGTAAGATGGATAACTTTGATGAAAAGATAGCTTGTAATAATATTTCAATAAGATGCTTAGCTCAGGAGCACAGTTAGTTAGCTGTGAGACAAAGAACGGTTTTTGAGTGCATTGATTAAATTACAACAGCGAATATTGATTAAAAGGGCACAATTGACTGCAAACCCAGAAACAACCATGTAAATGTAAATTGAACGAATAAAGCTTCTGTAGAAAAGACTGAACCTGATGTATTTGTAATTTCATTATTCATAAAAAATTAAGTGTTAAAGGGCACCTATTATGCCCCTTTTTACAAGATGTAAAATAAGTCTCTGATGTCCCCAGAGGCGTGTATGTGAAGTTTTAACTGAAAATACCCTACAGATAATTTGCAAGCACAACCTGCAAAAGTAAAGCCCATTAACAGCAGTTTATCCAGGTTTATTAATGGATCTGTTCCAATGGCTTTGCATTACAGTGTTATAAATATTCAAAGCATTTTTACAGTTTCAATTATGTTTAATAGAATGATTGTACAGTACCACACACTGATTCTATTTCGTGCCTTTTGCAGTTTCAACTCAATCAAGTTAGACTGTCAAACGGTTTTGCCAAGTCATGGTTTTAATTTCGATTTAATAAAATGCACAGTGTAGACATCCACCTTTGTCTCTTTAATCACAATAAAATCAACAAGCAGATCAATATTAATCTAATCAACTTTAATTAGAATACTTGTTTTTGATAAAAACAAATCGGAATAAATATCAACCCCTAATTACTGAGAGTATCCTCCATACGTACCCCAAGGAAATAATCTGTAATATCAAAGAAATTAATCCTCCTCTCATCAGCACAATGATCATTCTCAGAATCCCTTATTTTCGACTTTTGTTCAGAAAACATAATGAACCGACATCGAAGCATTAAATGAGAAAATGTTAACAATGTTACTGACACATTACATGCATATCACCTCTTGAGTGACTGCATCATGGCAAACTACTGATCCTGAGGACTGAAGAAAAATGAAAATGAAATTTGTTAAAGGCACATGTTTTTGTTAAATGTTGTAATATTTGGTCCGAGACATTTTTAATGCATGTAATTGTTTTCTTGTTTGTTTAAACACAAAATAGAAGAGTGGAGACTAATTACTAGACCTAAGTGAGAGAGAACCTACGGCACTCCCTCGACCCGCTGTGCAAAATGTAACAAATTATGAGGCTTGCGCTGTCAAAATACACGAATGAGTGGAGATTTCAAACTTACCAAACATGTATGCTACATAACAAAACCTTTCCAATTTGATCACAATACACTGACAGCACCATCAGAATGGGTACAGTTGGAAATATGGTATCATGCAAATAAACAAAAAAAAGAAAAGAAAATAGGCCACAGTGTTCTAGACCTTGCAAACCAAGGCACAAAATTAACAATGAAGAATGTGTCAAATTGCAAAGTGAAAGTCATCAGATTGCAGTTTGATTTATATGAATGAAGCCCATCTGTTGCTCGTGTTCCTGAAAGACATATACTGGATAAACAACTGTTTTTCTAGTATAAAGCTTATTTGAATGCTTGTTCCTTGAGAAGAAAATTGAAACATGCATACCATCCGTCAACCCATTAGAGCCCTTAATAATACTAGGTCAAGTTTCATTAAACATGGCACTGAAGAAAACATGTAACACACTGTGTGTAAACACACTCGTTGCACAATGCAGAAGGCGATCAGCCTTAGGAATCAAAAACAGTTTTGTGATTGATTTTACGATTCTGAAGCCAAACTTCCCTGAATGTGCTTTTTTTTTTTAATGCTGTGGACTTTGCTGGCTGAATCTGAATATGTAACCAAACCCAAACACCTGGTCCAGCTTAAGAATGACACTTTCATGTCAAAAAAAAAAAAAAACGTACTGGTTGATTTGTTGCCCAAATACCTTGCCACTCCATGTGCAAAAAGAGACTGCAAAGTTCTCTGATGGGAGAGTTATCGAACCCCTCCAGGGGGTTTGTAAGTGTTGAGACCTCCAGGGAGCAGGACGGATGTCAGGACAGCCCCACCATGTGGTCGATTTGCCTCATGTACATGCTCTTTAGAGGAAGGCCATAACGTCTCTCTTCGGAAATCCTTTCACACTATTGGACAAATGAAAATGTCATTATTTCTATGATCACTTTTTAGATTTCATACTGTCACTAACAAAATACTTGATTAAACACTTTAATATTGAAATTATATTTTAACGTTTGAAAATGTGTCCCAAGAAGCTGAAAAAAAAAACAAAGCTGGTAGTGGCTAATTGTAATTTTAATAATTAAAAAGAAATATAAATTACATAGGTCATGACATGATCAAATTTTCCTTGATCTTTTGACATATAAGAGGTCTTCGTACCATTAAAACATCCTGCCATTTTCAGAGCTTAAAATGTCCTCAGTACAAACAAAGCATTTATCAAGCTCCAAAAACAGCTTGTTTTGATATTGCGAGATCCGTGACATCACACATACATTTGCATACTGCCTCCAGACCAAGACATCAACAAATATACATCACATGGTAGGCCCCGCCCACTGACATTCAGTGCGCTAAATTAATCCCACATCTTAGCGCCATCTACTGTTTTAGAAGAGGAAGTTGCTCAACTGCATTTGTGAGAAAATCTGCCTGGACACATTTGTGAGAAAATCAAGCCGAGATATCTCATAAAAAGGCAAGTGATTAGGGTTGGGCGATGTCTACCAATTTGGCATCAGACAATGTCTACAGTGAAACATCGCGATGGACGATGATATCGGGAGCGGGAGGGGGAGGGGGAGGGGGATCGGGGGTATTTTCGTAATATTCTCATTTTCCACTAGATATTTTCCTCTATATCTCATCAGCAATTTCGATGTCGGCAGCTCTGCAGCAGCTGAGCACTAAGGAGCGAATGTACAGTGACGTGACATCACTGCCAGATTCAAACTGCGTGCTTTCGCGCTATGGCTGGCGCTGAGCCAAAGACGGACGCGCTCAGCGCTTGTCATAGGCTATATCACAACTGTTCAGTGTTAACCACATAATGTTTATTTTAGGTTTCAGACATTTAAATACATATAATCTATAGCAAAATAATACATTTATAGTTTGTAAAATACACAATGGTGTCTATGGAAGCAGCAATAACAACCCATTCAAATATATTTGACGACGGTTTTTATTCATATCAGAGAGACACAGTGTAGCATTAAATAACTATGTCAACTCAAGTTTTCTCCCAGTTCACCGGCCACTTACTTTCATGTTTTTCGGGAGAAACTGGTGAATTCACGCGCTGTAATAAATCCAACAGACAGAAATCTCTGAACTGCGGCCCAAACACGGCGCCCATCTCACGTTACAGATCAAGATAATTTATAAAGTTTTTTTAAACGACAAAAACTCACTTACACATATTTGAGAATCGGAATAGAAGATAGTTCATGACATGGTAAGCAAGTTTGTTAATATTTAGAAATAAAAGCGCTAAATCTGTCATACAGCGCTATTTTGGCTGTGGTGAATCACGTGCCAAGCAGGACGCGTCACCATGGAAACGGGACACACGATGTTTAGCCGATGCCGTCTAAACATCGTGATGTCTGTCAGCCACAACCCTACAAGTGATCTCTGCTTTGTATTTATTTGTGAAATATTATCTATGCTCATTTTTTTATATTTGCAAAACACAATGCATATGTGTTACTCCACTGCATTTTCACTCAAATTGACCTTTGTACTTGCACATTGCTTTCTGTTTGTTTGCGAGTCGATTTTTCCTTTGCAAAGCAGATCCAGTATGTTTGCGAGTTAAATTTTCCTTTGCAAAGCAGATCTAGTTTGTTTGCAAAATGCTGGATTTGTTTGTTTAATTATGGCACAATATTAACTCCATAAAAAAGACTTTGATTAATAGACGTTGCATTCATGAATGACTTAAAAGATTCATTGAGATCAAAGAATCACTGAGATTGCCACTATAATTCATATTCATAAATGGGATGACTGCTAGTGTTTATTAAACCAATTTCTTACGTTGCTCGTGTTGGCTGGGGGCTCTTTGGTAGGCTCTTCACATGGGAATTGCTCTTCCCAACTTTTCTCCCTGAAGCGTTGATCTATCGGCACTACATGGCCTTCTGTAGTGAAGATGTACTTATTCTCAGACTTGTGCAGCGGGTTGTCTTCATCAAAGAGCTGTAAAGAATCGTAAAATATAATTTAGTGATTGACATGGCAGCAGCATCAAATTTGACTGACCATGTTTATAGTTTATAAAATTCCTAGATATAAGTGAGAATAGAACATTTTTAAAAGAGAGAGCATATAGAAACAGAAAACTAACCAAAAAAAGGTATTTGCAGGTTTCACTGAGGAAGAAACTCTCCATGCGATCTTCTTTGGACTTATCCACCACATGATGGAGAGTGGCATAACCACACCTGAGCAGCAGTCAAACAGAACATCTGTCTTGAGAACATACCAGCATCCCAATCAAATCACTTCCTGACATTTTAATCCACATACCTGACTTTGGTATTTTTTTCGAGGCTTTCAAGGATGTCCATCCCAACATGAAGATAAAAAGGATTCTTGGTTGCCTGTAGAAAGTCAAGTTCATCGTTAATTATACTGTAATGCTGCAGTCTAAGAATCTGGTTATAATCCAAAAAGAGCAGTTAGAAAAGGTTTGTACCTGATAGAGCAGGTATGTGGATTCCACTAGTTCAGGTCTTAAAGGGTAGAAGAGGACATCTGGGGCCTGAAGCTGCCAGTTGTATCTCTCAGGAAGAGCCCCGAAACGCTTCCAGATTGCATAGTAGAAGGCATGAAGGCAAATGGCATTTTCAACATCTCCATTCAAAACCTGAGCAACAGAAATGTGTGCACCTGGTTAGAAACCCTGGTTAGAACAATGAAAAAAGGCAATCAGCAGGTCTAGTTTGGTCCATTTTTGTATGCACTAGAGTCAAGTAAATTCCACAGATATAACTGAAACACTGTTCAACTAGTTGAACAACTGGATTTTCATATTAGTTTAGAAAGTTGATGTTTATCACCAAGACAATTGCTCTCTTATTCATAGGCAGCTGCTTCAGAGGAAATAGACAAAACCTCACACGGAGCCGCTTTAAAGCACTCTAAATAGGGAGCAAATGGTTGCTAAGCTAATGACAAAATATTTGAATAAACACAAAATAGTACGATTTTTTTAATATTTATGAAATAAGTCATACCAAGGCTGCATGTATTTGATCAAAATACAGTGAAAACAATAACATTGTGAAATATTATTACGATTTAAAAGAACTGTTTTCTATTTATACATTTTATTATCAATGTTAAAAACATCTGTGCTGCTTAATATTTTTATTGAAACTGTTAAAAAAAAGGTCAGGGTACTTTAATAAGTTTAAAAGAACAGCATTTATTTGCAATAGAAATCTTTTGTATTAATGTAAAAGTGTTTACTGTCACTTTAGATCAATTTAATGCATCCTTGAAGAAAAAAATTATAAATAAAAAAAACTTTTGAACGGTAATGTAAGTTATTGTTTATACTAATAATGACAAAATACTAGATTTTAGAACATTTTTGGTAACACTTTACGATAAGGTTTCATTAGTTAACTACATTAGTTAACGAACAAAGAATTAACAATACTTCGACAGCCTTAATTAACCTTATTTAATATTAATTTCAACATTTACTAATACATTATTAAATCAAATGTTGTATTTGTTAACATTAGTTCACCTCAAAATGAAAATCACCCCATGAAAATCAAAATGAATTTACTCACCCCAATGCCATCCAAGATGTTCATGTCTTTCTTTCTTCAGTGGAAAATAAATTAAATTTTTTGAGGAAAACATTTCAGGATTTTTCTCCACGCACTGCAAATCAATGCAGTTTCAAAGGGCTCTGCACGTTCCCAGCTGAGGAATAGGGTCTTATCTAGCAAAATGATCGGTCATTTAAAAAAAAAAACACACACACACATTCATATACTTTTCAACCACAATTGTTTGTCTTGTCCTGTGCCGCGCCAGGCATTATGTCATCACGTTGGAAACGTCACGATTTTTTTTTGTTGAATAATAATAATAAATTAAAACAAAGATGTCAGACGATTTTGAAGTTAGAGGAGAAAATGAGAAGGAATTTTTCTCCCTTCCCTGCCTTTTTGAACCGGAGTACACAGACAAATAACTTAGATAGATGACGTGACGCGTGACGTTTCCAACGTGATGACGTAATCCCTGGCGCGTCGCAGGCCAACACAAGACGAACAATTGTGGTTAAAAAGTATAAAAATGTTTATTTTTTTTAGAAAATGACCGATCGTTTCGCTAGATAAGACCCTATTCCTCAGCTGGGAACGTGCAGAGCCCTTTGAAGCTGCATTGATTTGGACTTCAACATGTTGGTTGCAATTGAAGTCCATTGTGTGGAGAAAAATCCTGAAATGTTTTCCTCAAAAAACTTAATTTCTTTTCCCCTGAAGAAAGAAAGACATGAACATCTTGGATGGCATTTGGGTGAGTAAATTATCAGAATTTTCACTTTGAGGTGAACAAATCCTTTAAGAACTAAGGCTAGACTGTATTTAGAATGTACTGTAATTAGATTATATAAAGACAATAGAGAGATTGAACGAGAGAAGCAGGAGACAATTAGGACATGTTTTAGACCTGTAGTCCAGGGAAGAATGCCTGCAGAGAGTCAATCCATGTGTTCATGATCTGCCCATTAAACATGTTCACATTCACATACAGTGGTGGGTCACCCTCTCCTTCATTACACGCCTCTCTTCTGTAAAAGTAAAAAATTGCACAATTAGAACCAGGATGTGTCAGCAAAAGCATTACAATAGTTTAATAAGAAATCATTAATGCACACCCTGAGGTGTGAGGTGAAAGTGTCATGCTAAAACTTCTGCATATCTGTGTAGTTATAGAAAATGAAAAACCTTGAAATGTCAGTCTAGACCTAAACCAATCTGAATGACACATTCACATCCAAGAATGGTTATAATACACTAACTTGCAAACAATACACTCATTGGCTGCAAACCATGCCAAACAACCAAAGATTCCAAGTGACAGACTTTATCTGCAGGTGGTTAGACACCCACATGCAAACTCATTTGGTCTTTGGAAGCTCAAACTGCAGCCACAGGCAGCTGTGGTCACACTCACACATGCACATGTTTATAATCACCCTCTTCTCAGGTGACTCTGAATGCTCTCGTAAGCTGCAGAGAACATCATGTAATCTTCCTTCTCTCCAAATAAGATGTAAGACTTAAGGAGGTACTCGTAGAATGAGTCCATGCCGGCACCAAGACCGCTCTGCTTCCCCACCCACTGACCAGTCTGAATGTTCACCACATTCCCTGGAAAAGGGACAAAAAGGATCATCACTGGTCAGACAAAGACATGTGATCACAAATTAAAGATACTGGATCCAAAAAAAGAAAAGGTCTGTAGTTATTGTTTAAGGAAGGACTAAGGCTATGCACACTGCAAGCCTTAATGTTCAATTCAGATTTTTTTTGTTTGGCTGTTCACATTATTTTTAAAATGTGGTCAATAACAGATTTGACTGGGAACAGGTCACGAACCTGAACTGACCCGCATGCGCAAAAGAACAATAACAAAGATGGCACACAGCACGCTGTCATACGGAAGTAAACAGAGGTTACTGAAGTCAGGATTTACACATTCTTTTATAAGGCGTTTTGTGCTAAGGAAGCCAGTGAATTTGTGCGCAGGCGAAAAGGAGGACACAGACGAGAGCAAAGTTTCTCTCATATAGTTATAGTCTTCCATATTCACTGAGTGACCAAACAAATACCGGTGTAGAATCATAGAAGTGACGAATGTTGATCTAGACTCTAGAGTGACATAAATGTTGCATGACTATTCAGACTGATGTCGCATTGCAAAACATCATACCCGTATCTGATTTAGGACCCAGTATGGAAGTGGCCCAAATCAGAATCAAAAAGGTTAGATTCCATGTGGTTTGTGCTGTTCACACTGTTGTGACAAAAAAAAAGATCTGTCTCACATAAGCAAAAAACGAATTTATCCACTTTTGCCTGCAGTCTGAATGTACCCTAAAACAGACCAAAAATGCAAGCACTTACCCAACAGCCCAGTTTCATTGCTTCTCAAGTTCCACAGAGCTTTAACAGCCCGCCGGGCGACCCACTCAAATGTGGAGTCGCCAATCAGACGGCTAAGAATGCCAAACTCCACGAGCAGAGAACCCGCCCCTGCCGTACACGTCTCATTAATGCTGTCAGGAGGGACACCTTTCTTTAAATTCACCTGCACAAAACCATGGTAAGATACAAATGTCAAATGCAGTAAAAACTAGGCCATGTCTATGTACGTGGGCCTGACCCTGGGATAGGGGATGCCTGTGCCAGTGTTCTCAAAGGCAGGTAGCAGTCGAACAGCCAGGTCATGTGCCAGGTGCAGCAGCTCATTGTCATAGTCCTTTAGCCCTATGTCCCCAAAAGGATGCAGTGGGTCAGTCAGCAGAATATGGGATGAGATCAAACTGCCAAGGATTCTGCAAAGGGAACATTTATTTTAGTTACTTCCTGGTTAACAAAGATGCTGTTTTGAACACACTTTTCACTTTATTTTAAAGTGTGAATGGAACCTCAGCAGATCAGCCTAATTATTCTATTACAAATGGTTTGTTTTGTCAAATGACAAATCTCCATAGAAAAAATCATTCTTTCATAGAACACAAAAGGAGAATGTTCACACTTCTTATTTCCATACAATGATTGAATGGGAATGGATAGGATTCCTTTATTAACTAATCGACTTGTGAGGGTGTTGACAAACTGAATAAAAGAGTGAAATACTGCACCTAATGTTGGCCTCAAAGACTTGAACAGTGGAGTCCTTGTCAAAAGACACCGTCTCAATCACCAGCTTAACAGCTCGATGGAACTCTGTCACATTTCCAAGCACCTGCAGAAATGGAAACCAAACATGGGAGTGCATTATGCATCCATGTACATACTTATGATGACTACTGAATTAAGCTGAGGTGACACTGAAGTGAGGAATTCCTGGGATTATCTGTAATTAATAGCCCTGAAATAAGACACACAGTTTGTTCAGGTGAGGCCATACATCTGTTGATGTGGATTTGTTTTTTGTTTACTAGATAACTGAAAGTTAATCGTAAGTGCAGATAAATGCAAGGTTGTTTACTGGGACACACATAAAACAGCTACTCCCTCTTCCTCTTCTCATGTAGTGAAGGATAAATAATGGGCATTTTCATGAAACATGAGCAGAACAAATTTTAGCAACAGTTTCTAAACAGTTTCTGTGTAATTTATGTTGTAGAATAAAATGTGAATGTCTCTGAGTAATACAAACCTCAGACCTTATTTTACTTATAAATCATAAACCAGCATCTATGGGAGGGAACTCATGGCTCAAAAATGCTAAATCTGTGCTGGATTTTAGGACTATAAACAGAACGGCTCACATTTTATTTTTAGAAGATTATACTATTCAGCAGTTTAGCTGATTTTTTTGTTTAGCTGATTTTTAGCTGAAAATTAGTCAAAATCACAAAACATAATTTACTAATAGTATGAAAGACAAATACTTACACTAGAAGATACACTACTACATACACTACTTACACTTTCACTTGTACAATTATCAGTCAACTAATTATTTCTAACTCTTAAGAATTAAATAGAACTGATTTAACCTTAAAGGTAGGGTAGGCAATTTTGGAGAGGCTAGCAATAGCAAGCTAGCTTTGAAAGCATGAGATCCCACCCTCCCTTCAGAGCATCTCCAAAGTAGGGGTCGACCGATTATCGGCGCCAATATGAAGCATTTTTATGGTTATCGGTATCGGCCATTTTCAAAACCGATTTGCCGATAAAATAATTTTATTTTGAAATGCGCTATATTTGGCTCTGACGCAGCCACCTTTGTCGGAACTCACCACTCTGTAGACTAGACTAATGTCCCCGCACATCTGATTTGTGGGGGTTCCCAAGTCCGGCCAATCAGCGCGGAAAGCTGAGGCACTGAAAGTGTTGCACTCTCACACCGAGAGAGCACTTGCTGACTAGAGCTGCTTCACTGATCACGCTTCAGTTGTCTCTCAAAGTTAAGGCAGCAGCAGACTTTGCTGAAGAAGCAATAGATTACTACACTGAAGTTGCAAAATACCTCAATATAATAGAGCCCTGTGATTTCCGCGATGCAGAACAGACGGAGTCGCGGAATCCAGTCATAAAAACGGAATTTACTGTATAAAGCGGAATATCACGGAATTAGTCAACTTTTTGATGAATTAATAAAAAGCAGGTCAGTACAAATCAAACCGCTCAAACCGGGTTTGATTTTAATTCATTAGAAATGCTTTTTGATTACTACAATTTTATTTAAAAATTAAAATAGAGTCTTTAAGTTTTACAAAATGTTTACAGAATGCTGCTGGGTGCTCCCTGCACTTTTTACAAGTTATTATTATTAATAACTGTTCTCAGAATCAAAGATATGTTTAAAATCATTTAAAGAAAGTATTTGTCAAAACCCTTTGTTATTCTTAATTTTGACATTAACCCTCAGAGACCTAAGGGTATTTTTACAATAAATTTTCCGTCTGGTGTTATTCACTAAAAAAGCTTGTAAAACATCAACCCTTTTGTGCACAGACAATTGACACACCTCTTTTTTTTCAGGACAAATTGAACTTTCAGCATATTTGTGTTGCATTGATGTCACCTGAATGTAAAATAAGTTATGGGACCACAAAGACAAATGAAAAAATAAATCGGAAATTGAATCACTCAAATATTTTTTGAAATCACACACAAATAAATAAAAGCTAGGCAAATTTCCTCTGGAAAACAGTTTGTTCATGTCTTTGGAGTCCTGGAGCACAGGAATAAACATTATAACTTGTACAGAACCAAAACTATTTACATTTTTCCAAAAGAATTCCAGGCGTTTTGGGCCTCATGAAATTCACTGGTGCCAAGCCAAAACAGTTCCTATCAGCAATCACAAAGAGGGCCACATCACTAATCTAGTTCCTCATCGGTCAAAAAGCTCTGTTCTCCTGAAAATCCATCATCCTGCATGGCATCAAAAAATGCCAGCGCTGATTTACATCCATTTTTCTTTGTGTTTCTCTGTGAAACGCGTGTCTCTTTGTGCGTCTCTCTCTCCACAATAATATCAGAGCTTGGTTCGTGCGTTCGTGACGCACACCAATGTTTACGACGGATCAGTCTGTAATTGGTCAACAACCATCACGTGAAAACATCACGTGATATCCAAAATGGCAGCTTGCATCGAGCTAGCGGCAAAAATGACGGAATATTTATAAATTATGGACATCAAGAGGCTCATACTTGGATATAAGCGTTTGGATTTATTGCTGAAAAACTCCGAAAGGATGCACAAGTTCCAGGCTGGATAGAAAACCTTCTGTAAAGGCTAGAAAGACACCAAATACACCACCTGTGATGGCTAGCTCGTTAGCTTTCTGCTGGAAAAAACGGTAAGAAAATCGATAAAACTTTCATCAAATTATATAAATATTTATCGGAGGTGCCGTGTGACGTCGTGGACGATGCCGTCGGGCTCTGAGGGTTAATTTACAGTTTTACACCAGACATAGCTATAATATATATATATATCGGTTCAAAATATCGGTTATCGGTCTATTTCACCTGTAATAATCGGTATCGGCATCGGCCCTGAAAATCACATATCGGTCGACCCCTACTCCAAAGCCACACCTCCTTCAAAACACATGAACGCACAGAGCAGAGTCAGCAAAGCCCCACGCGAGTCGGCATTAAATAACCTCATGTCTCAAAGCACATAAAATTACAATAATAATGAACATAAACAACTTACAGAGCACTGACTTGTACCACCTGACTGCTGCAGTTTCATTTCAGCATTGATATTGTTGACATAGAAAAGCGAAAAATCAGAGTCGGAGATCAGCTCTGGATAGAAAGTCTCAGGTTGCCATCTCGTAATTACGGTTATGACATGGAGTGAATGCAGCATGCATGGTTCATCCGAAATCGAATACTTCCCTACTCTAGGCGAAAAACAGTAAGTGACAAAAGTAGTATGTCTAAATTCACAGTACTCATAAAAGAGTAGGCAAAAGGTACCCGGATGACCTACTACTTCCAGCGAGATTCTGAAGTGTGCATATGATAGACACTTTACTATCCCATGAGGCCACGGGAGAGGATTTATGAATGGCAGTGAAGCTACATAACTGACGCTGGTAGGTCACAACTGAATTAAGTTGGAATGACGGATGGATAAACTTTTTTTTTCCTAAGATTTTCATAGAAGATATACATATATCTTTTAAGATATAAGATATACATACATAAAATTTTTTATATTTAGACTACTTCTATTTAGGGGTGGGCGATATGGCAAAAATATCATATCACGATTTTTTTCGAGAAAATTACGATTGACAATTTTATCAATTTTTTTTCATGTTGGTTTTACTATTTTGCAAGTGACTGAGCATTAAAGAGCATATTGCAGGTTAAAAAAAAAATCTAAATTAATATATAACCTTGTATGAAAATACCATATGAAAAGGTAATGCAGGATTTAAAATGTTTTAAAACGACATAAGGGCACAAATTTAGTAGATAAAGTGAGCATTTCTTTGACTGCTCGTAAAAACCGTTTTTTTTTTCAACATCGCGTCATTTTACGTCACCAGAGGAAGGGAGCCTCAGCAGCGCAGATAGGTTTGTATGTACGAGCGGGTAAATTTGCTTTTTTATACTCAGAATGACAATTTGGAATGTAAAGAACAACATATTATACAGTTATTTGTTTTATTAGGAAAATACCATATACATAAAAAGAATTGGGCTTTTTTTCACATTTTATAAATGACTTCACATTATATGTACATCTCTTGGAACAAACTAAAAACAAAAAAGCAATGAAAACATGTAATGCTTTGAAAGCACTGGATATTATGTAAAACTTTTTTTGTATTTTTTATTTCCTGGCAGCTAATGTTAATGTGATATTGTGAATATGTAAAACCTCTTGTTCTTGTGGCATCGAATTAAAAAAAAGTCAGTGAGAGCGGTCGTGAATCAGTGTTTTCGGTAGTTTTTGTATTTTAATTTATCATCGTCATGGTAAATTATTGTGTTTGTGGAGGTTGCAAAAACTCCGGCCTGTCAGGACATCGAGTCCACAGGTTTCCTAACAAGAAAAGGGACGGTGCTGTCTATCTATCGTGCCTGTGTGCGGTTTGTGCAGCTGCTAGACAGGATTTCTCTTCTGCATCGGCTTCGAAAAACGCGGTCGTGTGTAGCGTACACCAGATCGGAGGAACAAAAACGTGTAGGCCTATATCAGGAATAAAAATATCTATCTGTCTCTCGATGAGAAAACGCTAAGTTATATCATGTAACGTTAGTCTGGATGGATATTAATGAGCATGACATACATACGCGCCTGATCAAAGCTTATAGTTTATTCTGTTATTGGTATATTCCAATACTCCTAGATGACCAATAATAGCTTTGCTATTAACTGATATACGATGGTAATAATCTGTACAATATTGTGAGCACAATGTATATCATTAGCGAACGTGTATAGGCTATATCTATAAGTTAGCAGTGGTCTCTCACCACGACACCTGCCGTGGCGGCGTTTCAAATAGGCCTACCTATGGCATTCCCCTCTGTGCATGTAGAACAACGACATTATCGAACGATATAGGCTACACCTCACATTTTACCAAACAGAATGAACGATGCACTATTAACTCTATTACACTATTAATTAAAACTCACAGTGAACAGCATTAAATATAAAAACACATATGCCTTACCTTTTTGTTGCAGTGCAGTTTTTATTGCAGTGGTATAATGTTTTGCCGACAGTACAGTCCTCATTTTTTTATTGCTGCTTCCATTCTCCTGATTGCTATTATTTAATTTCTTCGTTAAAAAACATCCAGGGAAGATTGAATAGGCCTGTTCTTTTAATGTTTACTCAGTATCTGACAGCTAGGCTAATCAAAAATACACGTGATTAAGTGATGCAATAAACTGCGGCTGCGCACACACTCCACGCAAGTTTTTTTTTTATAATACTTTTGCAATAATGTGTGTCTCCTCTGACCGTTGTTCTGTCTAACATTAATCCTGGCCTGTCCCTGCTCTCTCAGCAGCATAGCAGTCTCATAATTGTAAGGCTGTCGTCCGTGGTCTGTCATAGGAGTAAGTCCGAAATGTCATTGCGATCCATTGTTTTCCTGTTGTTTGAATGGTTTGAATCGACCGCTCTCCCGCCCGTTACGTCACGCCCATTTTCAGATGCGGAAGTAAAATTCTCTCACAAAAACGACTCCAGAAGCCAATGTAACGTATTTATAAGTATATTTTAAAGAAAATCTAATTACTACATTGTTTTTCTATACATTGACTCGTTGGGTCCTCTAACCTGCAATATGCCCTTTAAAGCCAAACTTATGTCCCCATTTTAAAAACAGAGCCTTACAAGGAAACAAAATATTTAAAAAAAAAAGAATGGCAGACATGTGGCGAATAATAAGTGGCGAAGATAAAAATCTGTCATTATTTTCTTTGTTATTAAAAAATAAGAATAAAGTTACACATTACATATACATTAACAAACACGGTAGCATGTTTACTATTAGGCTACTGTCACTTTAGGACCGGCACACATCTAATAAACACGCATATGACACGCACTCGATTTTCACTCAAATGTTGGCTTTCACTTTAGACATAATCAACTGTGTTTATGTAAACCTTGTGTGTATTTGACAGTATTAGCGCAATAAGACTCAAAAGATAACTTAGTCCAGTGCCCAGGCGCTGTTTGACAGGCTTTTAGTGCCTGTGAGATTCATGTATGCCCTCAGAAAAGCGCATGTTAGAACAGTGGAACAGCACACAATTGAAATGTTTAACTGGCAAGGCTTTAAAGCACATGCAAATAATGAACTTTTGTGATTTGCTGTATCCCGTGAGTGTAAGTCTACCTCTGCGTTAATATGTGATGCGAATGTATGTTGTGTGTACAGTATGTTGAGACGGAGGCACCAGAACCGCAACTGATAGAATGCACTGTAGCACGATACTATGATATTTCTTCAAAAGCAGATCGTGGAGACATTTTAATCGTCCACGATCAAAAATCTTAATAATCGTACACCCTTACTTCTATTATTTATTTTGTGAAGAGAAATTCAACCAGTATAACAAAAAGTGTTTATAAAAAAATTGCCTACCCTACCTTTAAAGGGTTAGTTCACCCAAAAATGAAAATTATGTCATTAATGACTCACCCTCATGTCGTTCCAAGCCTGTAAGACCTCCGTTCATCTTCGGAACACAGTTTAAGATAATTTTAGATTTAGTCCAAGAGCTTTCTGTCCCTCCATTGAAAATGCATACACGGTATATATCCTTGGGAATAAAGACATCAAAGTAGTCCATGTGACATCAAAATGTTCATCCAAAAATAACAAAAACTATGACTTTATTCAGCATTGTATTGTCTTCAGGTTCTGTTGTCAATCCGCGTTCACGAGTCCGCAGTGACGCTGCTGACGTGTTATCTGGTGTGTCCGTGTATTCGGTTCAAATAAATATGGCTGGGCAAAAAAATGCAAGTCTTCCTCTGTGTCGAAATCCTTAGACATGTTTGTGAAGATTGTTTTGTTTATAGCGTGCGTCTTCCTCAGACTGTAAACGAAGCTCGGGCGCACCAGATAACACGTCAGCAGCATCTTACGTCATCAGCATCACTGAACGCGGCTTGACAACAGAACCGGAAGAGAATACAATGCTGAATAAAGTCGTAGTTTTTGTTATTTTTGGACCAAAATGTATTTTCGATGCTTCAAAACATTCTAACTAACCCACTGATGTCACATGAACTACTTTGATGATGTCTTTATTTCCTTTCTGGACAAGGACAGTATACCGTACATACATTTTCAATGGAGGGACAGAAAGCTCTCGGACTAAATCTAAAATATCTTAAACTGTGTTCCGAAGATGAACAGAGGTCTTACGGGCTTGGAACGACATGAGGGTGAATCATTAATGACATAATTTTCAGTTTTGGGCGAACTAACCCTTTAAGTTAACCTGAAGTCATCTATTTAAGAGGCCGACTTACCAACAGCGTATCAAGAGCATCGATGAGGGTCAAGGAGTAGTTTCCAAGGACATCGTTGATGTTGATATTTGACCTAGTAGAAATACACAAGCAAATGCATCCTTAGGTCTATTCGTTTTTGATATGCTGCCATTATTCAAATACACAGGGATGAATTAAAGCCAAAACAATGTGGTGGTGGATATGAAAGAGATATTTCTCCTTTTCCATGCCTTAAAGGTCTCCTAAACTTGAAAAGTTTCTACTTGTTACTCATCTGTTATCAACTGACTAAAGAAAAAACTTGATTAGCAACATTTTTGTAACACAGGCATTTGATTCACATGACACTTCTTTTCCAGAAAAATGTACGGAAGAAAAGGGAATATAGAAAGACTGTAAAGTGTAGATGAATATATATTCATATACACGGGTCATGCCAAGATCTTCTCAGTCAGTTCTTGAGAATTCACTAAAGCATATAGTTAACATGAAATGAAACATTACAGATGGTCGTTTTGAAGGTTGATATGGATTAGTCAGTAGCCTAACTTACGGGTTGAGGACGTCAGGCCCTCGACCTTCACAAGCTATAGGGTTAAGTTCATCCTCTGGAAAGGCAAACTTCATGTAGTTATCATATCCGAAATAAAACATGTCTCGCGCCATTCCCCTCATTTTCACTTTCAGCGCGTCAGGGAAGGAGCTGTACTTTCTGTCATATTCATCTCTGCCCTCCTGAAAGAAGCTGAGGTAGGATTTCTTGGGTGAATTCCCATTAATCTTGGAGCAGGTCTTTGCTTGAAGGTTTCTGTGGTCGTACACGTGCTGTGGCCACTGGTTAGTTTTGACGGTGACTCTCTCGCCATCATTGAGAAGTTCAATTTTATGCAAGTTGAACGAGAATTTAATGGGGAAGTCAAAGCCCCAGCTGGGTCCCAGTCCAAACACTAGCCACACCGCGCAATTTAGCAGTACTCTCAAAACAAGAAGACCCACGACTATTGACCTCCATTGCATCTTTGCCTGCTGTCGTCCTTAAAAGTCATAATTTACTTCGACGTTGCGACTTACCGAGGCGCAAAAGTCAACAGTTTTCCTCCCGCTTTCAGTTCTCACACACTTCCTGTCAACAAACCAGCCCATCCCTGGTCCTCAACGCTGATTGGTCAGCCACCGGTAACGTCATGACGGAGAGGGCGAATAGTTGATGTAGGCGTATACTCATACACGCAGTGAGCAGCGGAGATGTCGTGGCAGTCGTCTAAGCCAATGAGAAAATCACATGTGTGAAGTGACGGAGTACATAAAGTCTTATCTGTATGTTCAGTTGTAACTACAGCTACAGTTAACCATTACCCCCTCCACTACTACTATAACCTAATAATAATACTAAATGTTACAAGTAAAAAATACATATTATTAATTAAATTAAAGTTTTATACTTATATTACAATAAACAGTTAAATACTTTATACTAAATACATTACAGATTTAAAAAAGAAAATTTTAAGATTTTTAAGATTCTAAATTTAACTGTTAAAAACATAAATATTTGTATTAGTAGTAGCAGTTTTAGAACGTTGGTTAACATTAACATCAGGGGCCTATACCATGAAGCTGGTTTAGGTGGCTAGCCACATGTTTCAGTTTAGTTTGTGCCAACCCTGGGTTTTAGGCACCATGAAAGTGGTTTGGCTTTTAGCAGTGTTCATCGCAAATATAATTATAACTATTACATATTATTGATATATAATTATAACAAATAAAATTCATTATTATAATGAATATATTAGTTAATATCATTATGAATATAATTCTAATCAAATTTATATTATGAATATAATTATAACTGAAATAAATTTTAAATCAAAATCTTGAGAACAGGTTGAATGTTGATTTATATGGAAATGGCAATAGCAAGGCTATAATTGCTGCAGCTTTATAACTTGACATTTGAAAACTTGAGATTGCATATTTAGGATTTATAACATTAATGCTTAACTTTAGATAAGACTACTTGACTGACCACAACATTAAAAAAAGAAAAAGAAATCAACCACAACAATGCAAGATTCCTCCTACATGTTGACAATCTATTTATTGGTTCATCGTATTTACAAAAGTGCATTTATAATAGTGGGGTTTCCAACATTTACCTCTTTTCACAAATATTTAGTTGATAATGACAACAGTACAATAATCTACCTTAAAAAGCATGCCTTCTTCGGTTCTTGCAGTTCAAAGTAAGCGGTCTTGATCCAATCTAGTTCCAGGCAGGCACACCTGGTGTACTGTTTAGCTTGAGGGACAGAGACACTGCACAAGGCACTTTAACTTCACCTACTCTTTCTCTCAGCTCATGAACAGGATTCAAGACATCATTGAGCTAAATGAAAACCTTTACCAGCAAAACATTCATCCTCTCTAATATACGTACACTCACTTTTGTAAAAATCTTTCTGATTTCTGATCATCATTTGTACATTTCTGCTGAGCTGTTTATTTACTAGATTGCTCCTCATTTAGATTTTACAGATTTTGCCAGAGACGATGGGGTTGGGGGATGGAAAGAAAGAAAGGCAACAGTCCAAATTATATTATACTCTCTTATTAGCATAACCTGACAGACTGGAGAGAACAAAAGGCTTAACACTATATTAAAGTATAGATTCTTCTCAGTTTTTCAATAGATTTGTCCAGGAAAGCCCAAGTGGAGACCACTGGAGCTGCGGGGATTTGCAAAACCATGAATCCATAATGTTCATCCGACAGCAGGCTGTAAAAGGTGGAGGAACTCATTCTGCAGGCTAGCGTCTTTTAGCGACTGATGTATCATTGACATGACTGATCCAGTTGGGAAGAGGAGCTGGTGAAGAATTATGGGATCAGACGAGCAGGGTAGTGTAAGGGGAGCGGTACGGAGAACTGTACAGTTTCACAAAGCGAGCGGTGTGAGGTGGCGTGAGGGGAACATGGCAGCGGATATACAGCGGGCCCTCAGAAGACACTTTCAGCTTCTTCTTGACTTTGAGTGCTGGATTAGCCATTGAAGCGTAATGTCTGAGAGAATCAGGGGACATAACAGTGCCATGTAAGTATAGCAGCCTAGAAACATCATACAGCAATCTAAACTCATCCTCATGGAACGTTACCTACCAATGTTATCTTTCTCTTTGCAGGAAATCGAGTAGCAGCAGATCTCCCGGTCTTGAATAGCTGCCAAGTTCCTAAAGAAATAGAACATGAAAAAGGATCAATAAACAATTTATATGGTATGGTATTTCATTTCAGGCCTTCTAGTTATTTCAGGAATAGCTGTAAAAAGAGTGTAGTCCAGCAACAGGAAAATATAGAAGCAGATACAACTCTTAGCCAATAGATGGCAGTAATTCTTACAACAACATGAGACCCCCAAACCACATGACCTTTCCATTTCATGCAGACAGATGGTTAAACTCTGGTCTAGACATTGTGACTCATCTCATTCTCCAATTCTTAGAAAACACAAAAATTCGCAATCTGATCCAATGTTTTTATTTTCTTTAAAAAAATAAAATGCATAAGATAATTTTTTAGAGATAGAACTTAAATTGTGTGTTGTTGTTTTTTAAATAGAGCATTGCTTTATAATGAAGATTTAAAAAAAAAAAAAAAAAAACTGGGATGAGCAGAACCAGTAATGCAATTTCCTAATTATTAAATTAAGTTTTCTATTATGGTAAGTCAATCTTATTAGTATCATATGATTTGGCAGAATATAATCAGAGGCTATATGAGGCCGAGATAGTCCACTCGTACATGAATGGGAGAAATCATAACGTTCAATATGGTAGCTTTAGGAATGTGTGTCCCACCAAGAATGTCCATGCGAATTAGCTGGATCAGTTATTGAAACAATTTTCACAAACATTTATGTATCAGTATTTCTCAACTGGTGGGTCACAACCCAAAAGTGGGTCACACAAGAAAAAGTAGGTTGTTTTAGTGGGTTGCGGAGAGTGTGGTCAAAGAAACAACAACAACATAATTGTAAATGTTTTTCTGATGCAAGACTTTTATTTTGAAAGACATGTGTTAATACTGATGACACTTCTGTCAGACACAGTTTAAGTAAAGCGTGCCTAAGAAAAATGCATTGTCCTGATTCAGTATCTGCAGTCAGATGAGATGTTGTCAGGCTATATCTCAGTGTGATTATTCTAACATTTTAGTAAATTGTTATGAAAAAGTCTCTCACCTCAGAAAAACACTTTCCTGCCCTGTCAGACAGTATCATGTGCTCACACTGTGCGAGTGCAAATGCAGAGGTGCATGCTGTATATTACTTCATTATATATATAATGAAATTACGAGCATACAACGTCGTATTTACGCTGTCAATTAAGTCATGAAATTACTAAAAACTACCAATAAATTGTGTGTTAGCTAAAAAGGATTTTCACAAAGGTATGATGTTCATTCTATTCATCAGAATCAGTGTCTATGTTATTTTAACAGTTCATATTAGCATTGTGTATTTACAATGGCAACTATTATCGGAACCCTAAAATACAACTTAATTTTCTTTCTGTATTATATTCTGTATTTTTGATGACTGTGGTGGCTCATACCAATTTAATAACTTTAGGGTATTATGAAAAACTAGGACTTCTATTTAACAGCCTTACCTTGTTTATTCATCAATGTTAGTGATATTCTAACAATATACGTGTATGCTAAGTAAAATGGAACGGTACTTCGGTGTGTGTCAACCATTTCTGAGAAATAAATTTGCTTGGTTCAAAGAAATTCCTAAAAATGTAGGTCGCATGGGAGAATGTGGGACCCATGACCAAACCAGTTGTGAACTACTGGCCTAGAGAAAAAGTAATATAAAAAGCTATACTGGTTAAATAATTAAATTTCTCCCCACCAATCTGACCAAGGTGACATCAGGCGAAAATAAAATAAATTTGAGCTGGAGTAAGTACATTTTCAATAAACATTTTTTTAAATATAATTTGCACTGATAAATCAATTTAGGTATTGTCCATTTTGATTTCATGTAGACTTTAATTGAAAAATCAGCGGGGAAACATCTGCATGTGTGGTGTACAGCTCCTTACATTTTTTCAATTAGCTGTTTCTCATCCAGCGCATTGGGAAGATCTCTCTTATTGCCGAGCACCAACACCTAAAAGACAAAGACATCCATAGGAACTTATGCGGTGAAGATGAAGATATGTTTGGGCAATGATGTGGGAAAAAACAAGGAAATGTCTTACAGGGATTCCTTGTAACTGTGGCTTGTCTAAAAGATTGTGCAGCTCATTTCTGGAAGCTTCAACCTTCTCCCGGTCCGCTGCATCCACCATGTACCTTTAAAAGAAAATGGAGAAAGGATGCACATTTTTATTATTTTGGTATGAATACTTTCCTCTTTCCCTTATAGAATATGGATGTAGAGATACTTACACTATTGCATTCACCCCACGACAGTATCGCTCCCACATGCTTCTGAACCTCGGCTGACCTCCTATATCCCAGATCTGCACAGTAATCAGACCCACGTTAGTTTCAGTGTTTATTATTTACAATTAAACTTGCACCTTATTTTTCTCCTGAATGCAAAGAAACCAAGATTCTTAATTAAAAATGGACCAAACCTTGATGGTGACATTGCCTTTTGTGACCTTCCTCATGTTGAACCCAACGGTTGGAATCATGTCTTCGCTGAACTGGCCTGACTGGGGGGGATAATATAGCACATATTAACAACTCATGGACTTAGACTTGTTTGTGGTGAAATGTTTCCATTATTCTACCTAAAATAACTTTACTTTTCTTTTGGGTTTTTTGACGCCCAGTTTATTTTCCTATTGCTGTAAGCGTAGGCCTGCAGTGATTGACACTGTAGTTAAGGGCTTCCCATCAGAAACATTTATTTGATCTATGATTCATAATGAAAGTTCACAAACAAAAAAACCTCAAGACCGCTCTGAGAAATTCCCATGGTATATTGCCATCTACTGTACTAATCTACAGAGATTCTCAAATTCAGGCCATTGCCACAGTCAACTCTGAAAGTTCTGTGCCAATATGGTGATTATTATACAATTACAATATTTTGCGATTCTAATTAAACTTCTTGCACTCCTAATGTTTATTCAAAC